GAGCACCTTTTCAAACTTTAATCTGGAGTATACCAAGTTTTGAATTAGTAGAACCCTGTTGTTTTATTTTCTCTCAAACTTTGGTTACCTCTCATGAGATACTTTGGTTACTATTCCTAAAATTCCAGGCATATGAAAAACATTTTTGAGTTGAAATTGTAATGAGGATGCATCAAATATCGCTGGCACTGAAAGAGAAGATTTTCCTTGATGCTAATGGTGATTCATTAGCAGCACAGCACAGATCTTAAGTGCACTGTTGTCAAAGCAGTAAGTTAGGGTTAATCAGTGTGGTACTCTGTCTTTTTATATCTATTCAGCAGTTCTTTAGCTCTGAAAAGTAGCCACTTAGTGTGTTATAAAAATCCAGCTCCACTTTCAGTTCTTTTAAATCTATAAATGAAATAGTATATGCATATACGGATCAGTGTGGATTTCCCTTAATTTCCCTGATCTTAAATGGCCATCATTTAATTCAAGACACAGTAATTAGCTTCCTAAGCTTCCATTACTATGAGTACCTTTTGCAGAAGGTTTTGGTTTACCGAGCTGCATTAGGGATGGTATTCCTACTCCAGGCTGAATGGGTGGACGCCAGGACGCAGTCTCACCCTGTGGCACAGTGAAGCCTACGCTCCTGCAGTGCAGAGTGTCCTCCCAGGCAGCTTCTGTCGGGGAGATGGGCCCTGCCTGTCCACAGCCCTGCTTTTGAAATCTAGTTTTTAGAGAAGAGCCAGCTGAAAAAAGGGGTGATACAGATTTGAAAGCCAAGCTTGACTTTTTACAGGCAAATTGTAACAGTGCTTCTTTTTATTTATTTATTTACTTATTTTATTTAAGAGGTTTGACTGAGTGCCAGTCTATGTTAATTGTGCTAACAGGCTTTTTGGATTAAGCTGAGGATAGGGCACTCCTGAGGCTCTAGGTCTCACAATACATTCTCATGTGTGACTCATCTGCTTGCAAGCTCATTTCAACTAACTCTGCTAGATAAACCCAGCAAATAAAACCAACCTACCGTTTAGTGAGTTAAACTGGCTTGTTCCAGAGTCTAACCATAAACAGCAAGAGTGTGCAGCTCTGTGTGAGGTGAGGACAGAACTGCCCTTGGCAGGAGCGATGCAGAGCTTTGCTTCTGGCTCTGCTTTTAAAGATGCTCCTGGACAACTCTGACAGCTTTGAAACTATAGAACTCCCGTCTTAGTTTTTCTATTAAAAGAACAAAAAGAAAAAGTAGTTCGTGGCACAGTTATCAAGTGTCTTGAGTTACTTGGGATGATATTTTTACTGTCCTCATACTGTGGATCTTTGAGGTATGCAGCAAGTGAGAACTATACAGGCAGAATGGTGATTTCAGAGTAAAAAAAATAGTAAAAATAAAAACATTTTTTTTTTAATTGTAGCAGCAATACTTAAAATGAAGGTAGTGGAGTGTGCTTGCAATATTCATTACAGGGTCAAGGAAATCCTATAGTAAATGTTATACTGAATGACATGCATTGATTTGGGGGATTGCTAATATATTTATGGAGATTATGTCTCCAGGTGACTGACCTTATCCTGAGTTCCATGATATGCCAATAACAGTAACAACTGAATCATAAACCTGCTGATGACTTTGTGTGAACCTGTTTTAGGGCGTGATCCTCTTGTCAGTATTTAAACTGAGCAAACATATATTCTTGATGTGCTTTTTTTTTTTTCCCCATACTACTTTCCAAATTAATTCAAAAGAAACTTTTTTTCTTTTAACAGTTTAGAACGTTTTGTTCTTATTATTACATTTTTTTGGAAGACATATCTTCTGGTATAATATAATGAACATCAGATTTAGTTGATTATCATATCCTGTAAAATATAATGATTTACTTTGTAGTAAATTTCTGCAGTACAAAAAGTTTCATATAAAATACATATTACCAGAGTTAATGGAGACACAGCATGCTTTTAAGTGCTCTGTAAATATGTTTGTCAGTTTGGCTTTTGTTGACAACTTGAACATATGCCTGCATATTATTTATTTGTACAACAGGAGAATTTTCCTTTCTTTTCTTCTTTTTCAGTATTACGGAATGGTGCATGGGAGATTGTCCACTGGGAAAAGGTGTGTGTGTGTGTATGTTTTCTGGGGATTTTTATAACATAACATGATTTTCATACTTTTTTTCTCCAAATAATTGTTATTAATAAGAATGAACTGGTATCATAAGAAATGTATAGTTTGTTGTATTTTTATTTTTCATGTTTGTTAATACTTGCCTCTTAAAATGAATTTTTAAGTCAAGTCAGTTCTGGTGACATGAATGAGGGAACTACTATTACATAGTGGGTTTCAAGTTCAGTCAAAAATCACCTCAATAATATTATTGATTTAAGATTATTCACGTACAGCAAGATTTTACTTACTTTGAATTCTTTGTAAGCAAGAAACTTCATTCTGGCAAGTAGTTACCTTGTTTATATGCGGATTTGTTTGGCTTAAAGTTTTAGAACTTTAAAGACTCTTAAGTCAACTTTCTGGCTATGAATGCTATATAGTTCATCTAGTCCCTTAGTTCTATTAGTTTCAATACCTGATAACTTTAATCAAATTTGTTCCGCAATGATTTGGAGACAAGATTCAATGGAATTTGGTTTATAAGTTTGGGGAAGCCAACATGAGGGCAATAGTGCATTAAAAAATAACGGTGATCTTCGGGAGATTAATTTCTTTTTTAACTTAGTTTCAGTCTACCAGTAAAATATTTATCTCCATAACTAGAAAAAGCAAAGCAGTGTGTAGGGTAGGTTAAAGGATAGGTTTCTGGAGAACTGCAGTGACCACCTCTGAGTACTAATGCCTGTAGACTTTTAAAAAAGTATTTAAGTTCCTAGCAGTTTTTCTAGCAAATTCAGCAAATTTAATACTTACTCTGCTTAGAACAAAGGGATAGTGTATTTTGTTTGAGACCATTAACCAATTCCCAGTTTTCTTTCAGGTAGATGTTGGAGATATAGTTATAATAAAAGGCAAAGAGTATATACCTGCTGACACTGTACTGCTCTCATCAAGGTAGAGATGCCCACTGATGCTTATAGTGTAGAGGCTGGTTTCTCTACCCTGCATTTATTTATTTATTTATTTAAGTTGTGATTGCTCCAAGGAAATAAGGCATAAACAAAAATGCTGCTTCTCTTAAGTACTTTTTTTTTTGTTAATTTGGGCACTTACAGTTTCAGGCAATATTTTGTTAATGTGTCGATTATAATTTTAAATTTATACTGGCATTCTTTTTATTCCTAAGAAAATTTTAGTTTGTTACTTTTGTATTGGATATAATAAAAAAATAGAAGGTTAAATCTCTGCCTAAACGTTGGGTCTCAACTGCTATATTAACTGAGTTTCTTGACTTTTTGATAGGCACATAAGAAATTGTATATTAAAAACAAATCAAAATATGATATATAACAGGCAACAGATTTTAACAGATTAGTTGCCGATTTTGGTTGTTGAATCAGAAAAAAAAGTCAATGTAAGGTATGAAGCATCAAAATAGCAGTGCCTTTATGAACTGAACATTCTGTTTATTCTGTAATATATACTTCAAATAATTTCATGTACTGAAAGTGAGACTTCATTTATATGTAATTTAATACTGTGAAAATTACATGGGCAATCAGATATTGTTTATCATCATTTCCTTGGACAGTTTTATTTAAGAAATTCACATCTTCTTATGTGGAAGATGCACATTTTTCAACATCTATTTGATCAGGTCAATAGAATAGTCTTTTAGTTAAGATTATTTTTAAAAGGTCAGCTCTATTTCACTTTCTTAGCTCTTTTACCTTGAAATTACATCTGGTTTGTGATAAGAGTGGAATCATTACTGAAATATATAATATGTAATTATGGATTAGGTATAAAACTTCTATGGTCCCATTAATGAATCCAGTAATACATGCATTTATAATAATGTCAGTATCCTGCGTGCATCTGTGACAGATTCCAGGTGAATACTAGTGTATGATTTATTCCAATTACCACTATAGCTCAAGATTTAGTGTAGTTATTTATACAATATTTTTAACTATTTATTACCAAATTTAAATAGATAATTCTGTTAATTCTCCAATGGTCTTTATTTGTTTATTGCTAGTGTATATCATAACTTCAGATGTTTTCTCAATATAGGTATCTTCCCTAAACCTTCTCTGCTCTGAGAAGCATTTGTAATTTCTGTTGGTGCTTCCACACCAATATAGTCATAGTCAATACACAATTTTGCAAGAACAGTTGTTCTACTGCCTGATAATAGCTTCTTTCATGTCAACTGTCATGAGCTAATCCTCATGTCTTCTGTTAGTATAGGCAGTTTACATCATCTCGGAATACTTCCATTATGCTCCCCTGAAAAAAATCCTGGAGTTAGAGAGTAGAGTCTTTGAGCAGATATCTTAACTTTTGTGCCTTTTTCAGTCTGGAAGGACCTTTGTGTTGCACTGTTCTCCAATCATATACATACACACTCAAAAACAGAAACTGCTTGTAAAGCCTTATTTCTGTGCCTCCTCCCTCGCCTCCCCTGCCCTAATAATCATACACTGTATCTTGGTATATTGAAATAAAATTTAGATGCTACTGGACTTGTCGGGACTCTTATCTCTTCTTTGCTTCACCTCTTTTTTTTTTTTTTTTTTTTTTTTTTTTCAGAACATTGTGTCCGAATTGTATTCTTTTGTCAGACTTTCTTCTAGGATCCAACTTGCCATGATGACTCTTTGATTCCTGATTACTTCTCTGGGTCCAATTTTGAAATTCTTACAGCTAAAACTTCTTTCTCAGTGGTACTACGGGAGGCCTGTTGTAATCTTTCTTTCAGGAGAGAACCTTCTGCCTTTGCATCATCTCTATCTGCTTACTAACATGTACTTCTCTTCTCAAAGTTTCATCTTCACATGGCCACCAGGAAGACCATGTCATCCGTTCTGGTTTTTAGGTGTCTATTGCTGGCAGTGTACATTTTAGACTTCTACAATAATCAGAATCTGTGGTCTGATTTTATTTCTAACTAATATAATCTACTTCTTTTTGCCAACAATAAAAGTTTCTGTGGAAAGGGGGGATCTTAATTATTTTAGGAAACTAATCTCTTGTGGTGGAAGGACTCAAGACTTAAGGCTCCAAGGCTTAATTCTCTTTTGTTCTGTCTAGTTCAGTGTAAATTGAAACTTACAGAATTGAAACTGAAGATCCAAAATCATTTTCAGCATGTCTACCTCTAAGAGTTCTTGTCACCTAACTCCTCAGGAAAGTTCATGGAAAATCTTTTGTTGTTGTTTTTTTTTTAATATATGCAGTGAGAAATAAGCAAATCGTTTTATTTTTAGTGTTCAATATCAGTATTCTATGCAACTTAAAATTGATGCTTTAAAATAAAACACTTCATTTGAATAAAAATGAGAATATTTTAGCTGTTTTCTTTCTGACCTGATTAAAATAGATTTTGAAAAACTCGTCCTCAGACATTTTAATTAACAATGTATTGTTCGTATAATAATTTCAAACTCTGTCTTTTTGTCTTTGTCCATTTGTTTTATTTTTTCCCGTCACTTATTTTTCTGTTCTAATCATTTTTAAACTGGGATGTGTAGGTGGCAGTAGGGGAAGTAGTGAAAGTGACCAATGGGGAGCATCTCCCAGCTGATCTCATCAGTCTGTCATCAAGGTTAGAATAAACTAGTTGCACAGGACATGTGTACGTGGGTCCTCACATACCAAATACAAATAAAAACCATGGCTTCTTTGGTAATCTTTGCTTTGCTGTTCATGTTCCTTAAACAAAACCCACACCTTTTATAAATTCAGAAAAAGTTCAGGTGATAAATGTATAGATCGTTACAGTGCAAATGCATGATAACACTCCAAGAAATGAAAACTTGTTTCAGCCCTTCTCTCTATTTTCATGTTACCACCATTGAATTTTATCAGACAAGTTCTCATTAAGCACACAGTAAAGCAGTAGGATAACCATACGTTTAATTCCTTAAAACAAATTAAGAGGACTGTACATGTTCATAACAACTTACTATTTTCCATGAAGAATGTAGCCTTGCCAGAGGTGGTGGAGGACCCTCTGCACAGACGTGGCTGTTGCACAGTCTCTGCTGCATGCAGTGGCCCTAGCAGCGCTGTTCTTGTGTATCGTGACAGTGCATGTTCCTGGGACATGGCAGCTTTACGCTCGTGTCTGCATTGCTACTGCGCTTCGTTCTTACCCCTGACAAATCCATGGGCCTGCCTTGATCTAAGTGAAATCCATGTCTTTTGGAGGTCGCTGCTCTCTGCTAAAGTAATCCGAATTAAGCATGTGTCTCACTTGAAATGCCTCTGCTGCCTTAGTCTTTAGTGTTTCTTAAAAGTGCTTCACAAAAGTACTGTTTGTTTTCTGTTTTTTAGTTAACTCGTAAAACTACTAGAGTTGGAATAAAGGTGGGATATAGGGAACAATCTAAACAGAAGCTGTTTACATTTTTAGAAAAGTTTGCCAAGGAGAAAATATTAGCCTGAAAGGATTTTTTGGTAATGATTCATCACATTTTAATGCTTATACCTTACAAAAATATATCAGAATAACCTACGCAGTTTTAAATTTTTAATGCAATCATTAAGATACCAAAACATCATTTAATGTTAGATTTAAATGCTAGAAAAGAAGGAAATTACTAGAAGTTTTAAAACACTGTACTAAAGTGTTTTTCTTCTGGTTGTTACACATTTTTATGACTCTTCTGCATCTTTATGGGGATCAAAGCTTGTTTCTACCATAGGTATAAATATTAGGAAGTCTGTTGTTGTGTCCAGAAAATGGCAGCTGAGAGGAATAGTTGAGAAAATTTTCTGTATTTCCATGTTCGTGATATTTATATAATTCAATTTTTCTAAATCATAAATGTAAGAATATTTTACAAAGTTCAAAATTGCTACTACATATTACACCTCAGTAAATAGTATTGAAAAATATAAATGGAAAGGATAAGCAGCTTATCAGTATATGCTAAAAGAATAAACTATTCATTTCTGTGTGAACTTAAAAAATGTATTTAAAACTTCTTAAAAATAGCATTAAAAGAACAGATATTTTGAAACGGTACTATGGTATCCATAATATATATTTTTTTCTTTTGCAATAAAACACTTTACAATAAAACTTTCACATCTAAACTCTTGCTGAAAGTACATTTTTTGCCTGCATGTAAATTTAATATAAGAGCTTAGAAAACATTGGCTATATACAAGATTTTTATCAGTGTTTGATCCAAGAAGACAAGTTTTGGCAAACTGCTTTCTGGAAATGTAAAGCACTGTTAGTGATTTTGTAGATTTGATCATAAAGTATTCTAATTCTGAAGTTTTGATGAACATTTGAAGAAAAAAACAGGATCCATAAGTATTAGATGATTAGATGTATTAGATGAGTATTAAAAAATTTGTGCACTTTTGCAGAATAATTTAAAATAAAGATTTTTTTTTTTGTATAGTGAACCACAAGCTATGTGCTACATTGAAACATCAAACTTGGATGGTGAAACAAACTTAAAAATTCGACAGGTAGGAATTTCATTGTTGAATATACTGCTAAAATTGTTTTTAGTTTATCACTGCTTGTTTAAAATGGTTTTCTATAGCTTGCTGAGAGAAATATGGAAGCCCTTTAAGAAAATAACAGGAATTTTAGAAAGCTATGACATTTTAGAAGTTTGAATAAAAAATGTGGATTATGAATGTTATGTATTCAGTATATGTATGTATTCAAGCAAAAGGAACAAATACTGTCTCTTAGGGCATTGTACTTTGTTTAGGTTTTTTCTTTGATAGATTGGGTGGGAGAGAAAGCTTTGTAGTTTGGACATTGGCTTTGGTTTTAGAGGACTGCTCTGAAGAAAGAATCTGATAGTGCCAGAATTGCCCTTGAGGGACAGACAGAGAAGTTGCAGATGACAGCCTTTAATTAAACGTGCTATCTGGATTCTGGGGCAAAATTGCTGAGTTACGTGGTTGAGTGTTGGGAATTATGACCCTGCTTCCATCAAGATATTTCAAAATATCAAGGTGACTTTTTCACTGCCTATAGCCACCGACAGCATAATGTAATTGTCCCATTCAACTCCAGTGGAGGTGGAAGTTTCTGCTTTAGATACTAGTTTGCTGGTCTTGCATTATCAAAGTTACAATACAATATAAATTAATATACGTTAATATTTTGGAAAGTGGTTTATAAGATCATGCCAAACAAATTTTGTTTACAGGGTTTGCCACTGACATCAGATATAAAGGACATTGAAAGCTTGACGAGACTTTCAGGCAGAATCGAATGTGAAAGCCCAAACAGACATCTCTACGACTTTGTTGGAAACATCAGACTGGATGGGCATGGGTATGTAAATCTGAAGAAAAAGATCTCAATAGAATCTGGTATATGTTGTTATACTACTTAAAGTATGAATATTAAAATATTTATTCATTTAAGACTAGAAAGGGAAAAATCTAATTTCTTACATCTATGACTTGACTTTTTATACTAGATGACCTTCAGCTATTTTCTAAATAGCTATTTTTAATACAAAGGAGTAGTTATAAACTTTCTAAGAGTATTTTGGCATTTGTACCTAGTAACTCACTTTTTCTGCATCTCATTCTTTGTCTGTTAAAGCGTTATTATAGAAGCTGAGTATAAAAAGTTGCTTGAGTATTTTCAAGTCTAGAGTGGAAGTCCGCTCCAATTCTTCGAATTTGATATAAGAATGTTGAGTTCAATTGTACTCAGACTACATCTAGAAGATGTGTAATAGATTAATTTCCTGGAAATATATTTTTGTAAAAATAGATAACTTCAGAGCGAGTATACATGCTTTTAAAACTGCTTTGAGAATTCTTAAATACTTAAGTGTTTACCTGACACTGATAGTGTGAGTCTTCTATGGGGTCAAATCTACTATGCTGAACTAGAAGTATAAAATTCGATACTATATTCAGAATGGTTGAATTCTCCATTCCCAAAGACTGAGTTCTTACAGGATTTTTTGAATTTGGTAGTCTTATTTTTTCCATATAGAATATTACTCATGTTTGTGTTTCTAGACATATATAAATATATCCATATATTATTATCTAATTGTAACATACCTTTTTTTATATTCCATTTTTTATTTGCTGATTTCTTACAGATGCATTCCGGGAGTTTTCAGTCGCAAGAGTGTGGATCTATTATAATTCCACTGTACTTGTCGTTCAGAAGAGAAAAATACTTACCTGTAGTTCTTCTCTGAAGGTAATGATTATAATAGATCCACACATCCATTCTTCTTCCCTTTCTAGGGGGAAAAACGTACTTTTCAAAATTGAATTATTTAATTTTAAAATTTGGTTAAGAAAGGAACATGCTGGCTATTATGCCGCATGAATGTGTGGGAGCACGCCATCTGCTGGTCAAGCAATTTATCATCTGAAAAATTCGGTTGTGAAATATTTAGAATATAGTTTTATGCAGTAGGGTAGTTCCAAAAGTGTGGCTCTAATATAATACTTACCTTCAGTGAAAAAGAATTGCAGGTAAGTAACTCTTTTTGGATCCTGGTCTTATTTCCAACCTAAAAATAAGGAATGAATTCTCTTTTTGCACTTATTAGAGGCAGAGCAGATAAAGCCTGTCTAATATATACTCAGATATTTAAAGCTTTCCTTCCAGCAGTTATGGTTTCCACTTTATCCACTGTCATCTTAACACTTTTGCAAGAGCAAAAATATGTTTCTTCCTCTTCTGTTTTCTTTCACTCTAGATAACTGATGGGAATGCCAAATTGCTATATGGTTCATAAATGTTGTAGACTGATAGTCTTTTTCTGTGTCCTTCTTTTTACCTTCATGGGAGAGCAAATTAAAGAAACAAAGGTTATTTTCACTCTTTGGGGTACTCTGTATTCAAGAAATAGAACTCAAATGTAGCTGTTTTGCCTGTTAGCTGTTGTTAGCTGTATCTATGGACTAGAAGAGCCCAAAAACTTTTTCACCATTTCTTCAACTTGTGAGGGTGCTAACTCCTCTCTGCAAGGTGCAGCTCTTTCAGTTATGCTTATGAATGTATAGGAGTGTGTCACTTGGTTTTTGTACAAATACAATTAGCTAGAGAAAGGAAAGAAGTGGCTGTCCTTTGAGAGAGACTTCAAATTTGAAATAATGATTAGAAAAAAGATCCAGAAGGAAAAGTGTGAGCAAATTATAATGAAGGTCAGATACTGACTCTCCTGACCTAAAGCAGACTTTTTCTTGAAGATTTTCTTCGCAAACACTTTGATTTGTAATCTTTCCAAGGTGTCACAGGAATCAAGAGCTCTTAATATAGCAGTGACAGCCCTAGCAGGAAAGTATGCTAAAGGGGTTGGACTTTGTCTTAGCCATAATAGGCAGTTTATATAATAAGTGAATAAGTGAAAGCTTTATAAACAGTTCTTGAAGTCTTGGTGGGAAAGGTTTGCTTCACTAGAATCACGGATGCTTTTTGTAATGATTTTAAGATGCCTCAATTCCAGGGAAGTGAGCTATTCAAGGTTTTATAATTTGACATGAAAGAGCATACATTCATTACTGTTTGCTTAGGGTTAGTGAATTCATCTTTCCCATGAGGCTGTTACAGAACTCTCTAGCTTTTAGATGCTTAGCTAGGCTGCAGTTTAAACCCCAAGATGAATGAAAATGAAAATCATTAAAGTAAAATATTTTATGGATAAGTTGCCTGTGAATTTCTGTCAAGTGAGAAATTCGGTTAATTAGTGGTTACAAACATGTACAAAACAAAGACACACATGCTAGTTTTTGGCAATACATGGACTAAGTTGGGAAATAGCAGCATTGTGTTCGGTTTTGTTTCATGAAAAAGCATTGCAACATTTTTCCGGATTAAATACATTTTCTAGTTTCTGCAGGAGCTCATTTCAAAAATATTTACTACCAGTATTAATTTTAAGAAGGAAAAATGTGTCCTTTCCTATTTAATTCCTGTCTTTTAATCTTGTGTGTGGCAGTAGAGAATATCACAGTCCAAAAGGAAGAAACTGAAACCTGCTTGTTGATATTGACTTTAAGCTCTTTGTACAACCAAAAATGGATAGCAAAATAACATGATTTCCTCATGAATTCTGAAGCTTATTTATCAGAATTGATGTGCTGTTATTAATTTATGTATAATCTTAATATTGTGTTTCTTTGAAACAGCTACAGCGATCATTGGTTTTGATGAGGATGCCAAACACTAGAACACTATTGACAAATCTGAAGTGAAAGCTAGTATTTATAGACAGAAAGTGAAAAACAGAGTATTGCTTGTCCCAAGGAAAGGGTAATGAACAAACGACAAATTTGAAAAGTATGTTTAGACTCAGCTGTCTAAATTTAAAGACTATTAGACATCTCCAACATATCTTATGAATTTTTATTCCTGACTTACCTAGTACAGTTTTAGAAGAATAATATAGGTAAATTCAAAACCATTTTTGAGGTTTAAAGATAATACAGAAAATACAGCTATAAATTCTACGCAATTAATCAGGTTCATAAAGGTTATTTATTTGACAGAGAAAATGGATTAAGTTGAGAGTTCAAAGAAAATTATTTGAGAATTATTTTGGAGAATAAATTATATACAAATACGTGAGTTTCAGTATAAAAGTTCAGAAAAACCTCTAATCATAAAACAAAAATCAGATCTTTAGTCCTTGTATTCAAAATTAAGTTGTAAGTAATGTTTTTTGCAAACTTAAATTTTTGGACATCCCATATGATTTGCTTTAAATTATCAGTTTTTATTTAAGTCAACATGCAAAAAACTTGAAAAATTAGGTTCCAAGAGAATTCGCTATAAGCATGTAAACAGCTAGCAATACTTGAAAAAACAGCTAATAAGCTTTAGTAACTGCTGGTTGCATTTATTCTTTGAAATAAATGAACTGATGATAAAATATAAAATTGCTTCCTTTTAGTACTGTTCCACTGGGATCTGATCAGATTCTTCTACGAGGAGCTCAGTTAAGAAATACTCAGTGGGTTCATGGAATAGTTGTCTATACAGGACATGATACAAAACTCATGCAGGTTTGTCACTTGGAATTTTTCTGAATAATGTTTTATTACCTTTAGTATCGTTATTACATGGAATATTCTTTAAGAAAGCATGGTTATTTTCAGTATAGTAGTTAAATTGTTCATCTTAAGAAGTAAAATCAGTAGAAATAAAGCAATTTCTTATTATAAACATCAGACAATTGTCAGTCAGTTATCCACTAAGTATTTTACCTACTGGTAATCATATTCAGTGGTATTATTTTGTAATTTGTGTGTTGAAAACTATTTTGTTAGCAAGTTGTATCGTTATAGTTTGCCTGTTCATCTTTTTTTATTTTTGACTGCTCCTAAAACTGTCCTGTTGTGGAGCTTTCTTTCAAGTATGAAGGTAAGTATTCTTGTCAGAAAACAAAGTAAAATTTTACTCATTTGCAAAATGATGAGGAAAAAAAATCTCAGACTATGAAGATATTTTTCCCATTGTTGTTTGAAATATCCAAATTAAAAGCATTTGTCAAGAAAAAGAAATGTTTTCAGTTTGGTCATGCATGTCTCTTTTTTTATTCCTGTTCTGATCTGTAACACCTAGTTTGACTGCTTGACTAGTATTAATTAGCAGTTGTCTTCTATAGTTCTGTTTCGATGTGTGTACATACACTTTTAATGTTTACTAGTAGCTGTTGCTTTTTATGAATGTTCTGTGTGATTATTTAAAGTGCTTGTGATACAAATCTAAAACTCAAATTCATGAGTTTGTCTTTCTTAAGTGAGATAGTTATGCGATATATGATGATGTATTTGTGGAAGAAAACTTAGGGATGCAATAATGTATAAAATTTTAAAGAAAAAGAAAAAAAAGTATGCATACCTCTTATACTGAATATCCACTGTTGGTTTTGTCTCTTGCAGAATTCCACGAGCCCACCTCTTAAAATGTCCAATGTGGAGCGAATTACAAATATTCAGATTTTGATTTTGTTCTGCATCCTTATTGCCATGTCCTTGATCTGCTCCATTGGTTCAGCTATATGGAATCGAAGACATACTGGAAGAGACTGGTATCTTGATTTAAATTGTAAGTTGTAAATTAATAAATTAATATTTTAGTGTTCAGTTGTCTTTGCTATCTGGAAAGGAGGATGTTTAACATGTTACTTTTCCATCAGTCTTTATCGTGTGTTGACTGAAGTAATTAGGCTAGGTATGTCTACATTTGCTGTTCCTTTAGAGGATTGATTAAACTCTCCAATCTCATATCTCTATTTTAGATAGTGTGAATTTACCTTTTTCGTAGTTTCTGTTTGGAGAAGATAGGAAAGTGTGAGGTTAGATAACGAAAATTGCATTTCACAGTCCCTAATTTTAAAAAGGCAAACTTAGTAAAGTCATATTTAGAACTTGATTGCTATGTATAGATATTCTAATGAGGTTATTATCTTAAAATGAAGAAATTAGTCAAAGGAGGGAAAGCCTGGGAAGTCTACTTCTCAGAATTTGACATAATATTTTTTAAAATCAGCACTGTATGGGATTTGGACTTTTTTTTTTTTTTAAACTGTGATCTTAAATGTTCTATGATGTGTTTTGTGTTTTGGCAGATGGTGGAGCAAGCAACTTCGGGTTGAATTTCTTAACTTTCATCATTCTCTTCAATAATCTTATTCCAATCAGTTTGCTGGTTACACTTGAAGTTGTTAAATTTATCCAGGCGTATTTCATAAATTGGGTAAATATTATTCTTACTGCAATTTACATAGACTTCTAAAATCAAATAGTTTACAAGTAAGGGAAATGATTAGTCAGTCATTTCTATGAATAATTTCTATGATTTCCTATGCCTGAATGAACATTTTTCAGATTTTCTACATGAATACTTATTTTAGTAACTGTGAGTTCCTTACAGGAATCTGAGAAGGAAATGATAATACAGTTTTTCTTAGCATTTCTGTAAGAGCACAGGATTCATTTTTGGAGCAGAAGTGCTTTTTCCAATGCTTTGTCCCTTTTCATTCTTAATATTCAGGTATCAAAATTTCAACCAGAATGATAAAAAAAATCTGTTTTACAGTCCTGTAGTTTTAAACAGTTTTATCGCTTGTTTTTCTTTCTGAGCTTAGTCCAATTTTTTGTACCTTTCATTGATTTCCACCTCCCTCTCTGACACAGTTCACTGCTTTTGTGCAAAGCCAGTCTCTACTGGTATAATCTTGTACAAAATAGATGAAGATCATTTTGTCGTCTTTTAATTTTTCCCTAGTGAATTGATGGGGTGAAGTATTGACTTTTTGAAGTCATTTATTTGCTTTTGGTATCATGCCTTCAATATGTCTTTTTTTTTCTCTTCAAAAATAACTTAATGATATCATTCTGAAGTCTCTGATCTGTTTCCTTGATCAAATACATGAAATGAATTTGTGTGTGAGAGATGTGAGGTCATACAAATATAAATAAATGGATATGTACAGTAGCAGGTAAAATGCCTTTTGATTTCAAAAGTTTCATTTTTGCAAGCAGACAACTAATTTCTTCATTTCGTTTGTGCTTCAGCATAAATATTGTTGACAAGTAAGATAATGCAACATAGTTCTTCATTTATATTCTATATCCCAAAACAAATACTTGACAAAGATTTTGGTGGACAGGAGAACAAATATAACCTGGGTTGAATAAATACATTTGTAACTAGTGCTTATACAGAAATCCTAACAAGACACTTTTAACTTTTGTTTCTTTCATTTCACATAGTAGATAGTTATCTTCAAAGGTCAATTTATCTATATCTGAGACACTGGATATTTACTGACTTAAACATGTTTGCTATGTGTATGGTTATGATAGTGGTATAGAGAAGCTGGTCATCTACAATCTCTAGCACTGTGTGACCAAATCATACCTTTTTTCTTAATTTATATTCGTTTTTATTATTAAAAAAAAAGTTTTAGGTTTCTTGGAACAATCAAAAGAAATAGGTACAGCACGCCTGTGTTCATAATTGTGTGTTCTTAAATCTTTTTTGTTTCAAGAAATAATTATTTTACCATTTGGGAGTGAATGGTGGGGATATAGTGCAAATAGATAAGACTGACTTCTCACTGAATATTACAGTACAGTGTTCCTGTTTATTAGTCTCTATTTTAGATTAATTTGTAATTATTTTCAATAATATAAATTAATGGGAGTAATCTCAGTAAATCTTGAAGCATCATATAGTTTTTTTGTTTTAAAGAGGAAATCTGTTTTCTGTTTGGGATTCTTAAAAATGATATGACTATCTGTGGCTTCCCCTGTTGAGGTGAATAGAAGTAGATAATTTGTATTCATAATCAATTTGTTCTTGTTCATTTAGCTTCTCTATTTAGAAAGTACCATTTTTTTATAAGAAGCTATGGAAGACAAACTTTTAAATATATATTTTTCCCTGTAGGATATAGATATGCACTATGAACCTACAGACACTGCTGCTATGGCTCGTACTTCCAATCTCAATGAAGAACTTGGACAGGTACAGAAAAATTACCTGCTCCATCTCTGTGTGGAGAATACTGCGAATGTTTTTAAAATCTTATTTATTAAAATAATGTGAAGTTTTACTTCTAAACACATATTCCTGCCTTAGCTTTTGTTTTATTTGCTTATTTCCTTTTTCTTAATTTTGTTGGAGGCATTTCTTTAAAACACTTTGCAATACCTACTCAGTAAATATTTGAAGCCAGTATTAAATGAGCAGAAGGTGTTCTATATATTGATGTGCGTGTGTTAATCCAAAATGCAGAGTGAAGGCTCTCAGTGGCACATTAAATTTAAATCTCTATATACACATGCTATGATTGTGTGTATGTTTGTGTCTGTGTGATCATTTTTTCACACACATTGGCTTGCTCAATAGAGACAATGAATATGCTCAAGAACTGAATCATCATTTTATAAAAAGAAGATTTTTTTTCTTTTTTATTTTAAATGCCTTCCCTATTTTTTGCCATAGAAGACTGAAGGGAGGGAAAGACAGTCCTGGAAATCTGGGCTTTATTTTCTGCCTTCTCCTGCAGAGTGCCCGTGCAATACTGATAAATTGGTCAGGCTTTTCACAAGAGATTACTAACTGTGTCTTCGTCATTTCATGCTCTGAGGCATACTTGTAGGAGCACTACGTGTTATATTTATTGTTTCGTCCGATTGCATTTCCAGTCTAGCTTTAAAAACATACTCCACTTTATGCTTGCTAGTACACTGATTCTATGGAAAAAATAGTATGTGTTTGTTTAATTACAGGCATAGTATATGTGAAATGTACATATCCTTACATTTTCAAATCTATAAATTTACCCAATTGATTAATTCCCTTGTTGAATGGGAATACAAAATTTATTACTACTCTGTTATTTTTGCAAAGCTAAGCAGAGAATTTTAGCCATTAGCACCCAGCTTCCAGGATCTAGTGCTTCAGAGACCAGCCTTTTGGGAAAACAGCAACGGACAGCAGTTGTTAACATGTTTAATGTTAGTCCACATTAAGGAAGATGAGACCTTTTGATTTAACAAGTATCTACAGATAGTAGATTTTTTTTGTTCCGCTCCTGGCTGTAAAGGGTTGTATACTCTAGGTGGAAGAGAGACTGTTAAATATTTATTTTATTTCTGTCTCATTTTATAACATCTGTCTGACTTTCTGTCCTTGCAGTTAGCTTGTCATTCACATTCCCATTTTTCCAGCTTACCAGTAGAATTCTGTCATCAAGATCTAGTCAAACTTCTTGGTACCTCCTTTTTCACTTGTTTGCCAGATCCTTAATTTGGTCAAATTTAGATTTTTGTAGGGAGACAAAAGGATAGTCTGCTTAAAAAAAAAAAAAAGAAAAAGAAAAAACAGGTTTCTACTCTAAAGTATGTGTAAAAAAGGTAGTGCTTTGTCCACTGCAATTCCTGCTCTCCCTTTCTGCCTTACCACCATCTCTAAACGCACACACACACACACACAAAATCCCTTTTGTGGCATAAAACCGCTGTGGAAGATAATGTGTTAGTAGTTGTTTTTTGCAAAATCATAACCTATCAGAAGCAGAATCTTTAAGTTGGAGATGCTGAGTAAATTTTAATAAGGCATAGTGCTACTATCTGCATCTAGAATATATAGTATCATTAATTCCTAGTTAAGAATACTGTGGCCTTTTTAATGAAAATTTTTAATTCATTAAAACTGAAGCTGCAACTTGATGAAAGCCATTGTTTTATGTATTACCTTAAGATGAAATTTGATTTAGATTTAAAGCTATCACAGACTGTGTATTTTAGCTCAGATTTAGAAATAATTTATGCAGTAGTTTTTGTTGGGGAAATAGCTACGATGTTAGGGAAAGGAGAGATAAAGAGTAGATAAAAAGCAAGATATTGCTTTTATTCTTGCAACTTGATTTTTCTTGCTTTCCTTTTTTAATATTTTGAATTTAAGAAGATAATTCAGTCATAAATACACATTTAACATATTAGCACATTTAGTGTGCTAATAGGCATAAATTTAAATAAATACATAAATAATTATTGAAAGTTAATTACACATTAATTTTACCATTTGTTTAGGTCAAGTACATATTTTCTGACAAAACGGGTACCCTGACATGCAACGTCATGCAATTCAAGAAGTGTACTATAGCAGGAGTGGCATATGGGTAGGTATTTCTATATATACTCATGTCTGTATTTCTGTGCCTTTCTCTTCCTCTGCTTGTATTCACATATATACATAAAGTTAAAGCTAAATTTAAAACAAATTTGTGCTTGGTAGTAGATGCAATGTAGAGTCAATTTGTGATTATGAAATGTTTCTTGTAAGAGGGCTGCAGCTTTTATCACCTCAATTATAATGCCTCTTTTTTGAAACAGAAACGGAAGTATAGATATCAATCACTTAATGTCATAAAGCAACTTCAGTACACCTCTTTCATCTATAGCTCAGCCCGTTTAGTGCTATTATTAAAAAATGACTTCTCACATGTTTGCAAAAAAAATCTGTAGTTGTCCATACTTCGTATTTCATGTAGGCACATGTACGTACGCTAAATGTTATGCAGGATGAATAAGAATTTGGATTGCACGAAATTGGATTTGTAGTTGCCATAACATCTAGTTCAGGTGTTTTTTACGAGTAGCTTAAAAGCGGCTTAACTCCAAATATGGATTTTTAACTATTAAGAAAATTCTCAGAATAAAGCTCTCTAAATAAAAACAAAGAATATTATTGCTTAGTGTCCCCGGTTGCAGCCACATTCTCTCACGAAGTGTGTGAAAGCCTCAAAGCTCCAAGGCTGTGATTTGCAAGAACCTTGTAAGAACAATAACTACAGCAGAAATGATTATGTTTTAAATGAGAGCAGTAAATGAAATTCTGGGTCTGGGCAGGTCTCTCTGTTCAGTAAAAGGTAACTAGATGCATATAGAACGTTAAATGTTGGGCAGACACCAGGCAGACAGTATGAAATTTTAAGTTTTGCACTTGTGCTAAAGTTCAGGCTTTTGTGGTTTTGGGCAGGAGCTTTTGTGGGATAATTTTCCACAAGGTCCCTTTGAAAGTTTCCTTTGAATATCTAAAAGTGATTTTGAGATGTCTGATAAAATATGTTTTCTTCTGAAAACTTAGATCCTCAATGCATTAACCACAATGGAGTTTTTTAATTAATAATTTCATTTTTAAAAATACAATTTCAACACTGGTATTTCAAAAAATAAAAACACAAAACTCACACTTTGTTTTGAGCTCATCTTTGAGCACAGGAGCTAGTCTTTTTACTTCAGTGAAACTGCTCTAAACCATCTATTTTCAAAATCTTTTTACAGCAGTTTTGTAAGCTGACGAACACAGTAATGGTAGTGGCAACTAAAATCAACATTTGGTATTCAGTTCATTGTGCATCTTTATCTGAAGTTGATATAGCACAAATTTTCGGACTTCTTTGCAAAAACAGGGTGTTAATGTATTTTAGGAAAAAGTGATCAGATTTTTCTTGCTATGCTTCCCAGCTGCTATTTGCCCCTTTTTGAAAAGACAGTGGTCTTTTTTATGAGCCTTACTCTGTTTATAAAACAGTTTCTCTCTACAGCAAATAACCATTACAGCATCTCTTATGACTGCTCTGTCAATAGATTCATTATTTTCTGTCTGTCTTGGTGCAGGTAGGAGGATGTTGGACATAGAGAGAAGGGTAGAGATGACTTCTGTCTTCCATGCCTTTTCTTTTTAAATGTAGTCTAATTTCTGATATATTTCAAGTAGGGTCATCATAGGCCAGATCTTTCACATCCTGTGGTTAGATGTGTTGGATGGTTTTTGAACTCAGGCAGATAAACCTGCATTAACATAGCACCCAAAGTTGCTTTTTTTTTTAAAGTGAAACTGCAGCAGTTTCCAGCCGTTGAAACATCTTATTCCTTAATTTGGAGCAAACATTTCTAAAATAAAGAACAACAACACCCAGTTGGCTTGGGGATTCAAGCTATGACAGCAAATGATAAGAATTAGTCATGTACTTTTGAAGTAAAAGTGCAAATAAAAAAGCAACAGGGACTGGAGCACTCTTCCAGGGTTCCAGGCGGTCAGATGAAGCGATTGGCCCCGTTTCTTGCTCCTTTTCAGTGTGTGCCTTAATTGGTAAAAAGATGTGTTAGTGGTGGTAGGTTTAATGTGATGCCATGTTAGATGTGATAACTGCTGAAACAAAACCTGTTTTGATACGTACAGGAAATAAAATCACAATACAATTAGATGTTTCAAGTGAAACAAGGTAATATTTCAGCCTGATAAAGATTTCAAAATATTCAAAATGGTGACTTCTTTACAGTGGGCTTTTCTTTAAGCTGTCTTGGACCTAATTGCTACCTCATTTCCTTTTTGCTTTAAAAATACTTCTCAGAAGTCTAGATCGAGTTGTTCTGCCTCAGTTTCTGTGTACCTGCTGTATTTTCTTGCATTAAAAATGAGTATATTCCAAGTTTAGACTGCCATTTACACCTCTGCAGAACAAAGTCACAATAACAGCCTGTTCAACTGTTATGTGTTAGACTTTCACATAGACTTCTATATAATACAGTTAGTTGGTTTGTGTATACTGAAATACCAAAAAGATTCGTAAAGATGGGTTATGCTATTATTTCAGTTGGTGTATGTTAGCAAATAGATAAACCTTAAATCAAACAAAAACTATCCTTTATGTTTTATAAGTCCTCCACAGAAGTATCATACTTTTTGCAATGGTCTATTGTTATCTAGGTCCTGAGAAAATACTCATTAAAATGCTTTTAAATCTCTCTAGTAACAATTTCACTAACTTCTCTTTTGCACGTGATCTAATTGAGTAGTCTTTGTGGTTGTTTTCCCTCTCCCCGTGTCTATTCCTCTCTTACGTTTTGTGCAGCCATTGCCCTGAGCCTGAGGATTATAGTGTTCCTTCAGATGATTGGTAAGCTCTAAGAATCATTTAGTATATGGTGTTTGTTTAAGATTCATGCTTAATACCTGTGAGATAGATCAATTTTTAGAAATAGAGCTAGGTATGAGATATTCTTCTCAGAAGCTGTTTTAGCGTCAAATTGATGGAAGCTGACTGAGCCTTATAGAATTTTATGATGTGAACCCTTGAGTGATTAGACTGGGTACTTTGCAACAGAGTTGTTAATGTGGGCACTGAGCTGTGGTGTAATTGTCCTACTGACAATACAATACAGAATAGCTATTGGAGAAGGAGTTTTGATTATTTATAGAGGTATTAAGGTAACTTCGACCACATATATATCTGCCATTAACTAGTAATAAGTTAGTAGTAGTATTTGTTAGAAAAATAGTCTAAACTTGAGAGTGAAAAATATGTAATAAGCTATTAACATTTTACTGCAGAGTCTTTGCATATTAGCGCTTCCTGTGTGTGTTTGGGGGTTTTGTATGTTTGTTTGTTTGTTTTGTTTTTATGAAAGCACGCAAGTGCACCTGAAGCCAACCTCAGTGTTTTTAACATGAATCTCAGGAAGACCAAGACCTGGCTTCCTTTCTGTTCCCATCTGCATGACACCTTGTACTGTCTTCATTGTTCTTTCCTAAATCAACCATTTTCTATCCTGTTCAGAAATAGCTTAAACGAAAAATAAACATTCACTGGCAGTCTGTAAATTATCATTATATTTGTTGAAAGTCAGGGTAAGATATTGCACCAGAAGCTATGCAGTATGTTGTTTCTTTAAATTTTAAATGTTTGTGAGAAAAAAAAAAATGTTTTGCTAGATTGGAATTAACAATTCTACATTTAAAAAAAAAAAAAAATCTCACCCCACATGCACCCCAAAAAATTGCCCCACTACACACGTGTCCCAGAATTATACATGTTGTCTTGGCCCATTTCTTACAAACATATATGAGCACTTTAGCTGTGCACAAATGAATGGTTTTATTAAAATAAAAGTAAAGCTTATATAAAATTAAACATATTTGCTCATATAATTCTTGTTGTTTCCAAGTGGAAAACCTTGAACTGGTTTGCAGTTTCTTTTTAGAGCTGAGAATTCAGAAGTTAATTGATTTTGCTACTGCAGATGAGATCCATACCCTGAAGTTTTTCTATCAGAAAGCTTTAAGCAATGAAGTTTGAACCTTGAACACTAAACAAACATAACATGTTATTATTGAAATTGTTAAGTTTCAGTTCTTAAGACCCAGCAGCTTTGTGATTTTTTTTAATAAATATCATTGAGAATACTTTGGATTTCTCACTCATTGTAGGCTTTTACAAAAAGTGGTCCTTGAAAATTTGTGTGGAGGAGATACTGTCATTTCAGATTTCTTCACAGCAGCTGACTCCAGCAGCTCTCTTCTGTTTCCATAGAGAACTTCTAGACTTTGTGGCTTAGGTTGTGGTTTAATTTCCAGTGTAAGACACTGGCTATGTACAGGCTAAAACTGTGACACCAAGGCAAATTCCAATATAACTGAAAAAAGAATATTCTTTCTGTAAACTAAGCTCACTTTTCAGCTTTGTTTCATGAAGGTGCCTTGTCTTTGCCTTCAGACTCAGGTGCCTTGTCTTGATGTTCAGCACTCACTGGCAGTAGCAAGTCTGCACCAGGATGTAAACAGGCCCAGAAGTATTTAGTTTTTGGAGTCCTTAGCTTCAACCAGAAGCCTTGAGCAACATGGGAGATGTTTGTGTGATCTTTCGTTCTCCGGAACTCTCCCCGCCTTGTCTCTCTTTAGTCCCTTTTGCTTCACCACTGTTGCTCCATCTTTATGCATCAATTTACTAGGTTCCTTTTTGTTAATGGGCAAAGAATCTCCTTTCAGACTTCCCTGATATACCATCTCAGTTTATTTTAACTCCCAGCTTTTCTGTAAATGTTTGCAAACCTGTTTTGGAAGCTGCTAATTTCTCAAATGTTATTTCCTAAGTCATATCTTCTTTGTGCCATCAGTAATGACCAGTTGTGTACGTTAGTAGATTTTCACTTCATCCTATGTTATCTGGAATCAAAAGAAAGACTTCCCTGCATTTAGGGGTATTTATGTAAATCAAACTTGTCAAAGCTAGATAAATGTTGTTAGATATGTAACAAGCACCTGTTCATTTCAGTTTCTTATCATGTGCAATTGCAGTCGCAGCACTATGCTGCAGCCCCTACAGAGCTAAAATGTTTGACCATGGCACAGTTGTGTAGATGATCTACAGATTATTAAGAGCTTGCTAATGGTGTTCGCTCTTCTTAATTATTTCTAGGCAAGGCTCACAAAATGGAGAAGAAAAAACATTTAGTGACTCATCATTACTGGAGAATCTTCAAAGCAATCATGTAAGTGATACAGAAACAATTACTGCTGTTTTGTGAAATCAAACCTTGGCTTTCAGTAAATCAAAAGATTATTTTATTTGAAGAAAGTAAATTAAGTACTTGCACAAAACCTATGCATAATCCTGAGTACATTTTTAATTGTTCACTGTGAATGTGTGTAACTTAACTAGATCCATCTAGAACTAATGTTCAGCATTAACTTGCAAAGAACCTTCTTTTCGAGGGAATTTCAGACTGAAATATAGTGGTCTTACACTGTGGATTATTTAGCTATTTGGGTATTTTACCCCTGTTTCATCCTAAATCATGCTGCTCCTATGTTTGTCATGCTCTCCATCAAAGCTTGCAGGGTCTGTCCTGTCAACTTACCATCTTGACATGATTGAGTATTTCTGTGCAGGCTTGGTTAAGAGCAAGGAATTAACCATATACATCTCTTTTGTATATGTCTTTGCTTGAAGTTAGATCAAATCAGATAATTGGACTAAACAGATATTATAGAGTCCTGATATTTGCTGCAGAGAAACAGTACATTTCACAGTAGGTTAATGGTTTAGTTTGTAATTTGATTATGAAACAGTCCAATCATTAACACTTTGTCATTTGTACAAGAAATGTTTTTAGCTAACAAAGAACACCTGTCTGGAATCCTTAAATTGTTCAGTCTCTATATGTGAAAAGTAGAAATAGGTTACCATTTTTGCTTAATGTTTGTCTTCCCCTAAGGGTAATATAAGGGTAGCTGGCAAATAGTGAAGCATTTTCTTCCCACAAATGTGGCAGAGGCATCTCTTATGCAGAAATACACAGGCCACTTTAGGTGCTGGTAGTGTAGGCTGTTTAAAAGAGTTTGAAAAAGCTTTCCTATGACTACTGTTGTTTATAGAATCCTAGGTGTGCAGGTGACTTGAGGGAATATTGAATCTTGAATGTTTCTTTACAGGTGTATTAAATCACTATAAATATGCATTAAATCTATATAAAATAAGCAAGGTGTTTTGAGGTCTTTAAGAAAAAAAAAAGGTGTTTTTATAAATTTTAAAGTGTTCTGAAATGTTTTCAAAAAAAAATGTAACTGAATTTTTTAATCATTTGGTAGAGAATTTGGGGCTCTCATTTGAAGATGAAAGGTACCTGATCCCATGTTTGATTATAAAGAGCTTTGTCTTGATCCAAGTTATAAAAGTTCACCCATTCACTGTTCTTATACTCTGGAATTGTTAGGTCTTTCCAAGATTATTATATTTTATAGAGTATTTTTTTTGTTATTCTTAGTGTACAACTAATCGAAATAGTCAAAATATTCTACAGAGAGTCTCAGTTTGAGGTGGCAGCTCTTTAATCTTATTTAGAGAAAATGCTGTTTTTGTTTGTTTTGTTTTGAAGGAATGTTCAGGAATTAGTTCCTTTGTTTTGCCAAATTCGGTTATACTAAGCAGATATATGAAGTGAACCACACTTCAGATGTAATAAGCATTTTATTTGTATTGGCAACAAATGTCAACTGTTTTGAGTAGATATATTTTTTCCCCCTTACTCCCTTGGTTAAACCATTTTAAATTCTTTTTTTTTTTTTTTCAAATTCTGTTTACCTGACCAGACGGTATTTTCTCTTAAGTTTAGAGTTTGGTTGCTACATCTTCTAAAGGTTCTTAAAAGTTGTCAAATACAATATTAGAAAAAAAAAATACAAAGTGAGTATTTTAATTAAAAAAGACATAGTCAAAGAGACTTTAATAAATAATAAAATCAGTTATGAAATCATTTTAAAGTAAATCTCTTTCAGTATAGGATTCAGGTTTACCTTTCCTGTAAAATGCTTATTTGAATTATTTTACAGTTTCGGTTATTTCCTTTTGATGGTTATGATAGGAAGTGACACTAAATAATGTCTGTATAGTCTATATTGAAGTAGAAACAAGAAGTTATTCTGCGTGCTGAAACTGGAAGATAAAAGATGTCTGTTTTATTTAATTATTGATTTAAAAAAACGTTAGATTTTTCTTGACTTATTTGTCCGTATGTATATTACACTTCAGTTGCTTATGTTGTTGAAGTGATTTACCACTTTTCTGACACTATTTTTTCTTTAGCCAACTGCACCTATAATATGTGAGTTTTTGACAATGATGGCAGTGTGTCACACAGCTGTTCCAGAAAGAGAAGGTGATAAGATTATATATCAAGCAGCATCTCCAGGTGAGAGTCAAATAATGGAGTGAACATATAACAGAAGGGTCCATCTATTCAAGAAGAAAATTGTATTTTAAATGTATTACTGATATTGAGGTATCTGCTTAAATAAATAAAAAAAAAGAACACAGAACCCCCCAGGAGAAGTGGCATCAGCTAAAAGCAATTTGTCAAAAAAATGGCTTTTTTCTTGCTTAATTTACTTTTGTAAATATATATGGCTTTCCTGTGTATGACATAATGGCAAATTGTGATTGATAAGTGCAGTATTACTAAGTTGTCATCCTATGACTCCTGAATTCTGAGTGAACTACTCAAATGCAAATAGATATGAAGGAAACTGAGGAGGCAAAATGATGTCCTTGCTTTTGTTCCTGTTGCATATGCAATAACAGTGCTATCGAATTATAACAAACACTATTTAAATCAAAAATGAGAAAAATAAAAGATTTTAAAGGGATAGAAGTTTTGATAAGCTCTACCAGAGCAAAAAGAAAAAAAAAAAAAAAAAGATAAAGATGAGAATACAAAAGGTCTGATTCAGTCCTGTTCTGTTGCATAGACAATTTTGAATTCAGGGCCTGATAAACCAAGGCAAAATGATTAAAATATGACCTAAGCTAATGTAGTATGACAATCTATGATAAGAGAAGTGGCATGAAGCACAGTTATGTTGTTCCAACTCCCAGGTAGCCATTTACCTGCAAATTCTGTTCTACAAGAATTAAAAGTCAGGACTGAGGTAGAACCATAATAAATAAATAAAATTATAATTAGTGAGACCAAAGCTGCCTTTTGTTGGGCATAGGGAACTAATTTAGCTTTTATATCTTGAGCCATCTGGGGAGAACTGATGCCTGTGGGAGACTGAGTCACAGTTTGAAACCTTTTCTGGAAGTAGGCACTAAATTTAACCGTTATTTACAAGAATGACTTACCACTCTTGTCTTCTAAAACAATTCAGACAAGGTGCTTACCTTCTTGTTTAATGCTCTGCTGAAAAAGGCACTTGTCCAAAAGTGGGAGTTTTGCTCTGTAAGCAAAGTTTATTCAGAGAGCATCCAAACATCTAACTCCCAGAAAGCAAGCAGGAAGGAGGCCTCCCTTGATGAAGCAGTATCATCATGTCTGCAAATCACTAGACTGCAACTTAAACTTTAAAGAGGTTGTACTTACTGGATTGAGAAGCAGTTTCTTTTGAACATAGTATTTTCTGAAATGCAAACACAATTCAGCACAGCTTTAACAAGAAAAAGAGTTCTTTCTGTTCTGTCATCAGCTCTAATTTTGCAAATCTAACAAGGAAAAAGGAAACCAAAAATAGAAAATCTTGCACTGTGCCCATTGAGTCTTGGGGATAAATAACAAGTTTAAGCACTAATTGATTTGTTGCAGATGAAGGAGCATTGGTCAGAGCAGCCAGGAATCTTCGTTTCGTATTCACTGGAAGGACACCTGACTCAGTAATCATAGAGTCTGTAAGTACATTAGAATGAAAATATAATTTGCAGGCATTTTCTCTTGCCATATTAAATATTTTCTAAATAACTCCATCTTGCCACATGCCTTTTAAAGTGCAGTTTGTTTCTTTGTGAATCCTTTACTATAGAAAATCCTTTTACATTAATGCCTATCTCCTTTTTTTCTAATTTTTATTACTTTTTTCAGTTGGGACAGGAAGAACGATATGAATTACTGAATGTTCTGGAATTCACCAGGTAAAAGGCATGTTGAACACGTAACGTCTTTTCTCTTATGGATAAAAAAAAGTTTGCATTTGTAATGCTCATACAGAAAAATCATGTTTAAAGTTTTATACTTTTACAAAGCTTTTATCACTTTAGATTATATCACCGTGCTATAGACAAAGCAATGCACAGGAGTGAGATTGTATTCTGCTTTTTATTGTAACATTATTTTCAGAAGCGTGTAGTTTTTCTGTCATCTCCTTTTTGGCTAATGTTTCTTATTTTCACTTTTGCTCAGAGAGTCAAAAAATTGTGCTGATTTTTTTTTAAGCATGAGAAGACAGTATAGGGAAGGGAACTTTTAAAATTAATTCCAAAAGCACTAGCACCATGGGAATTAAATAGGAAAGTGATATTTTTTAGGGGAGAAAGCTTCAGACAAATACTGATTTCAACACTGATACTTTCTAGTGAAAAAAGAATTACTTGTGAATCTTAGCCCTTGGAGGATTAAGATTCTCAGCAGATACCATCATTCAACTTCATTTAGCATTCAGATTTTTTAGCTGTTTTTCACTTACTCTTTGTATTCGATTGCCTTACTTGGAAATGACTTGTTGAAGGCACTAGAGGTCACTCTTGTTCCACAGCGGAAGAAATTCTGTCTCCAAAACTTAACACCATCTGAATGGCCAGGAGAGTGTACCTGCAGACAAGTAATTTATAACAGTTAAGACACCTAACTGAAGGGTTTCCAGGTGTTGTAAGTTGTTTTTCCTGGAAAAAGAAATGCAAACTAATTTTGATTCCAGCATGAGCCAAATAAGACTGCAAATAGACCGCAGCAGTGTCTGCTTTTTTATAGGAGGTTTTTGGAAAAATGTCACAGAAGTAAAACATGTAGAAATGCTTGATAAAGCTGTGTGTTATGGTATTGTTTCTATACAAAGATCATGACATGTGCCTGTGATAAGTAGTTTTCATTATACAATATGGTAGTGATATGCTTTTCTTATAGGCAAGGAAGTAGCTTTCTGTCCTACTGGTGTACAAGCATAGTGAACGCAACTGATAATCCTAAAGCAGTTAGTCGATAGTTACTCCTAAAAAGTAGTTTTCATCTCTGTGGAGCAAGAGGTGTCTTCTTGAGTTTGCTCCAAGTAGAAACTTAGCCCAGATGGCATAACTGTTGTGGTACCTTAAGCTCAAGGAAGTGGGGAGTAGCTGAGAGCTTCTGCTGTCCAGCTATCTCTGGGGAGCTGATATCTCTGTAGATACAGCTATGTACCTACGGGGGGTAAGAAGGGAAGGCACCATGTCAGTGGTGACATCTTAAGCGGAGGCTTCATGCTTATGGTTATCTCTCTGCCAAATACATTTTCACCTGGATCAAGTATAAACAGTTACAGGGATAAGCATTTTTTAAGCATGCAATTCCTTGTTTTAATAAGCATGAGATACATTCATCCTTAAAGCCTGAATGATGCATTCAACATTAAAGTTCTGGTGACTTGACTTCCACAGTCAGTCGCAGTTTGTGTATCGGTGCTTGCATGAACATGTGTCATTTTCAGAAGTGCTACCAAGATTGTGATTGTAGCTACCTGTCCTGTTAGAAGAATGAGCTGAATTTTTAGCATCAGAATAAATTTCACTAACAAGTATTGAGTGTAGACATAGTAATAATATCCCAATATCTGCGAATACAAACTATCTATTGATTGATCTTCATCAACTGGCTGATCTTCATCTCCCTTACTGGAAAATCGCTCCACATTGTAGCAAAAGGTTCCTACAATTTTTCTTGTCTAAACCTTCTTGTCAAAAGACTATCTGCAGCATGTGGACACATGAAATGAAGCAGTGGTTTGACTAGTCCCCCATCTGATCTGTCCTTCAAATAATACACATTGCCTTTGTTGTTGTACCAAACCCACACTAGGCCTCCGTCTAGAGCGTTTGAGGTCCTACCTCCTTTTCATCATTCAGTGAGGTCCAGAACTGATCATATTCTCTAACAAAAGGTTGACACTTCTAAATGCAGAAGAACAGCTAGAGGGGCTGACAGAAGAGGTGCCAAAGTCTCTTTAGTAGCATTTGTTTTCCGTGGTTGAATTGTTGCAGTAATGAAGAAATCGTCAACTTAAATCTGAGATAGCTCCTGGCTGGCCCTGTTACTTTCAAGTCTGCTACTTTTGAACTCCCAAACTTCGGAGGTGGCAAATTTCATGGAAGAAGAAAACATCTTCCCCTTCTGTCCATCTTTAATCTAGCAACAATTCCATGAGAGTTACCAGCTATTCTGCCTCCTATGGTGAAGAAAAATACAAAGCAAAAGGATATCATACTTGAAAGTTTTCTAGTTGTTTGTAGTAGTGTTATTTTGTGATATTGTGATATTTCATCAAGTAAGAGAAATAAAACTGACATTGCAGTGACATGACTAATAAAAAGTTAGTCCAGGCAGTAAGTATTGCTCACTAGCTTTATTGTAGTTTTACTGCAGAAATGTATTTGTCAGTTGAGATTTATTACCTACCTTCATAGCTCAATTTTCAGTCTTTGCATTTGCAGTCTTCTGGCATTGCAAAGTTGTTGAGGATTTACCTGTTAACGACGCGTATGTGTGTGTATATAATTACATTTATTTAGGATTTGTATAAACTACATTTCCTCCATAATTAAAAGGAACTTTCCAGGTGAGTGTATTAGTGTATTAAAATGGTAGTAGTTACAGACTATATCATTATGCCAGAAATTAAAGAGGATTTATCTTAGGCTTGCTTTTGTTCAGAGAGTATATGTGCAATTTAGACCATCTGAATTTCTCTTCTGGTCTCATAGCAGATCTCCAACGGAGCACTGTCCAAAGGTTTGGGAATTCGGCTTATCTGAGATTTCTTAGACTAGAGGTGAAACGGAGAAAGAAATGAATTAACTATTTGTGATCTCAGTTAGGAACATTTGAAATGTTTTTTTTTTCAGGAACAGTGGACAGTGTTTAGATGAAGGTTCTGAAATACACTTTCAGAGGAAAAATGCCTACAAGCAGTCACTACATTAATTCTAAATATTTGACACTAAAACCGTTTTCCATCCCAGTCACCTAAAGAACATCCTTCAGAATATATATGTCTGATTTATTGCTTTGACATACAAATCAATATTCCAAGATAAAAATGCTTGCAAATATAAATATTTATGAACTATATACACATAAAGGGGCACTTATTTCTCTTTCAGCACTAGGAAGAGAATGTCAGTGATAGTTCGCACCCCAACAGGAAAGTTAAGACTGTACTGCAAAGGAGCTGTAAGTTTTATTGTATTTTCATTGTATCAATGTATGTATGCTACTGACATAGATACAAAAGCAAAATTTATTATAGCTGTAGTCCTAACATTGAAATGGAGAGAAGGAAATGCCTTTTTGATTTACTTGATTTTATTATGTAGTTGTTTATGCCATTTTTTACCCACTGCCATTCAAGTAAGTCAGACCTATTCTTTGTACTTTAACAAGCACCTCTGTACTTACTACTAGTTGTTTTCTTTTGTACTTCAATAAAATAGTTGAAGGATTAGGTTAATTGATTATTTGTTTGCCCAAGCAGCTGGACAGAAATGACTAGATGGGAATAGTAATCTTGCACAAATGACTAGATGGGAATTGTGATTTACCGTTGCTGTTATGCCAGAACTTTTTCTGGATACAAAAAGGATCTGTGGGAAGAAGATATTTTGATCACAGTGTATCTAGGAGTGGTAGAATTGCTCATTCGTTCTTGTTCCGTATCTAAGCTCAAGTTTGGGGGGTAGGGTGATCCAATTCTTGGGTGATATTAAAAACTGAAGATGATTGTAAATATCAAAAAAGTCATTATTAGTATTCTGTATATGCAAGCTGGCCACAAAAATCTTTAACTTGTTGCCTTAGTAGTAAAGAGAAAAATAACATTTTAGGAAACAAAAAAATTCACATGGCAAGGCAAAGAAAGAACGAATGCTCTTCGATATAATAAGAAATAATTGCAACAACTGTAGGAGGAAAAAAAAGAAAAAAAAAAAGCCTGTTAGCAGAAATTGTAAATTTGTATGATGTGAGGGCTTAGAATGCTCTTTCCTTCCCCTGAAAGAAACTCACTTCTACTCTTTTTTGGTAACAAAATAAATCAATACAATGCCGCATATTTTTCTGCCATTTTTCCTGGATAATTTGCATTGTCAGCCCAACAGAACTCATTTGCTCTAGTAAATTGTTTCAAGTTCATTTTATTTGTGTTATAGGATACTGTAATTTATGACCGTCTTGCTGAGAGTTCAAAATACAAAGAAATCACCTTAAAACATCTAGAGCAGTTTGCTACAGAAGGTGAGTAATATTATTCAGTATAAATCTGAAATTTTTATTTAACTTTTTATTTTTGTGGTTTTATATTGTTGTAATGTCTTATTTGCAGTAAGTCTGAAACTTACAATGTTTTAGTAATGCTTTCCTAAAACTGCTGTTCTTTTCCCAAGAAGTCTGAGTAATAACTTCATATCCGAAAAAAGCAGAGGTGGTTTTTTTTTTTTTTGGTATTTTTTTCAAAGAGTAAATACATTGCACAGTTCTTTGATTATGTGAAGATTTCACTTTCCCTGGTGGCTTTCATCTCCCTCATGCAAGAAGGGATGTTGCACAGAAGGAAACGGCCAAAGGGCAGGTGTAACTCTAGGAGGGTTTCTGTGCAACACAGCTCTTGCAGCTCTGTTCTTAACATCTTCCTTCACGTGTGATAAGGGGGCATGGCAAGGATTGGAGAGGGGTACTGTGAAGTACCATAAAGTTCTAAATGATGGAGGGAATAGTTGGAAGCAGCATTAATGATAGTTACGAGATCTTTTTACCTGTTCAATTTTTTAACACACTGTTATTAGGATGTTACAAATACCATTGATGTGTATTCAGAAATAACCTTACACTTAAAATTTAACTTTTAACTTTTTTTTGCTTTTAATGATAAAGGATGCATTTCCTCCTAAAATAGGATCCTTACCTTTTGATAACTGAGATCTGTGGTCTGACCAAATCAAGATCTCTGCAGAAACATTTGCTTAGTCTCATTTAATCTTACAGAATATCAAAGTTATAATAAATTTCTTGGAGAAGAAACTATAAGCAGAACTAAAAGCAAATGGGTTTGACTGATAGCACAGCAGCGTGAAGCCTCAGATATGTTTTTTGGACTCAAGAATCTAGTTATCTGAACTGATTGGACAGTTTCAGGTTTTAAAGGCCTGACCAGGATCAATCAAAGAAAAGATAATATTTATTTTGGGTTACAGACTAGATATGTGGCTGAAGAAAAGGCAAAAGTAGATTAGTATCTGTTACTCTGTGTGAATTGGTACAAGATTTTCAATCCAGTTCTTAATTACTATTCTCATTAAATCAGTGATATAGCCAATACTGTATTTTCTAAGCTCAGGCTGGACTGAATCAACATAAAAAAGTGAAGATTTCTACTCTATCTTATAACCAGTGTATGTATATATTAGTGTTGAGAAGTTTGTTCAAGTGCTTTCTGTACTTTTCTCCTCATCAGATAAAAAGGTTTATTCTTCAAAAGAGTCACTTGCTAACCCTTCAAAAGCATTAAATTCAATCTTAAAAATTTTTCAAGTCCATCTCTCTCTGGAATCGATTAAAGAAATTGGTATTTATTTCTGCATCAGATTTAAATTGCAGCTGATGATGTTTCAGAGTTTCTGCTGTGTATCCTTTTATGTGGCAGTACAGTATGTCCTTGGCATTTGCTGCATGTTCTTGATGTGTTGTTCAAAAATGAAGTGGTTAGCATGGCTGGCATCTATATTTAAGCATTTATTAAGCTCGAATGTTAATGCTACTTGTTACTTGGATAAATGTTACTTGGATAAATAGAGCAAGTTTATTTATTTTTCTGTGTTGTTATTAAAGCAGGCAGATACTTTGTTTTCCATTTTTTATTTTGGAAGTTTTTTCAGTTAAAATAAAAAGAATTTTCTTAAAATTAAAACTAAAAAAAAATTACGCTCTGAATTAAAAAAAAAATAAGTAAAGATTAAAAAACGCTGATATTGCATACACACTGAGCTCTTTATCATCTTCATATTTGCATAGTTTACAGTTTGAGATAATTTTAAAATTATACAAAATTCCTTTTTTCCTCCCCTTAAGTGCATCACCTGTATTACATTCATCTACATTGACAAACTGTTGCGAAAATTTTATTACATTTTTTCCTTTATATACGTGAAACAAAGTTCTTCAGGGCATGAAACTGTAACTTGAAAATCAGGCATAAGCATACACAAAATAAAGAATAAATAGAATAAATACAGAACAAATAGTATTTAGTAGTTGCTTGTTGCAAGCGTATTAAGAAAGAGGCTGACAAATATTGAATCATGTTTGTATCTCTTTTTGCCTTAGGTTTACGAACTCTGTGTTTTGCTGTGGCTGAAATTTCAGAAAGTGACTATCGAGAGTGGTTAAATGTCTATCACCGGGCTTCCACAGCTATACAGAACAGAGCGCTCAAACTTGAGGAGAGCTATGAGCTAATTGAAAAAGTATGTACCCCTTCTAGGGGCTGGGGAGCAGGCTTCCTACTAAATGTGTAATCTATCCAGACAGAAATAAGATGAGAAACTACATACCTTTGTTAATGGCATGGCTACCTTGCTAGCCATATATTTGTATTGACAAAATTTACTGCTAGTATTAGTACTCCTTCAGCATTGTAGTATTCAGGCCATACAGCTAGAGGCATTGCACACAGTTAGCTTTACAGTGCTGCGTTAGGAGTTAGACAGTTTTAAAGTTAATAGAAATGTGAAATATTAAAATGACTGTGTTCAGAAAAACTGTGTAGGCTTGATGTATGGGAAGCTAAAACCAAACATAATCAAACTGATAATCTCTAAGGTAAAAGAACAGTTTTTAAAAGGTGAAAAGAAGTTATTACAAGTGAGAGAGACTGTAATTAATATACTTCTTAGTATACTTCTTCAAATCAGGAAGTTTCCTCTCAAGAAAAGGTAGCTATTTCCAAAGAAGCCATTGATCTGGTGAATAATTTGGTGAGGTTGTAGTGTTCCTGCTGTATAGTTTATCAAACCAAATAGATATTTAAAAGAAAGCTCATGAGAATAGCCTGTAAGATCTTCATTATTTGATACCAAGTCTGATTCATGAATTTCTAGAGTCTAGAATTATCTAGACTGATAATAAATATGAAAAGTTTAAAAAGTAAAAGCCAGCAAAGCACTAGGAGTAAAACTGAATTTAAACTAAAAAATGTCATGTATACTCTGTGTTCACAGAATCTTCAGCTGCTTGGAGCAACAGCGATTGAAGATAAACTACAGGACAAAGTGCCTGAAACTATAGAGACGCTCATGAAAGCAGACATCAAAATTTGGATACTTACTGGGGACAAGCAAGAGACTGCTATTAACATTGGTATTAAATTTGCCTTTTTTTTTTTTTTTTTTTTACAGTTTTCTTGCCTGATTATAGATCTTGTTAGAATAAAACTGTTGTCCAAACTCATTGGTATGTTGTAAAAATAATACTATTAAATGTCATTTTATAATTTAAATATTAACTTCATTATTCCTCCATTACAACAGTAACAGCACAAAAGTTCACATTATCTCAGAGAGGAAAGAAAAAAAAGGCCTTTGTGCTTTTTGTTGCATCTAAAATCATGAAGAATACATTGTTTTTAGGCAGTGAGAGGGAATAATGTTAAGAAAATCTTAAGTATTCTTAGTTTTCTTTTTGTGTTTTTTTTCCTTTCAGAAAAGACATTATTCAGGGATCATAATGTCAACTAAAGCTAAGCAAAGAATGCAAGTTGTACATTAAAGTGTTATAAACTTTATCATCAATGAGAGGTTTCTTTTTGTTCACACACAAAAAAAAGAAATCCTGACAACATATAGCTGTATTACCATTTGAGTTAGTTAAATAGTAACATGGGAAGACAGAATGTGAAATTTAAGATTATTTTCATAAGGGAATATCAACACTTATACACCAATCTAAATCAGTGCTCTGAGACTTTTTGGTAATACAAATCTCTTTATTATTGTTGTTGTTGTTATTATTACTTTTTAATCTTAAGGAAATTTCTGTCTGCACACAACGCAGTTAATTTTCTTAGTGACTTTATGGTTAAGGTAATGTATATAATAGCATTATCTTCAGTTTATTAGGAGTAGCAGTGAATATTTAGCTGTCTAGGCCCTCTGCTTTATTAGTATGTGCCATACTGTTTGGAGGAGGCAAATGCAGGAGCCTGGCAGACACAAGGATGCTGCAGCTCCATGCCTTCACGTAGCAAGGCTGAGAATGTATTCCTGGCCAAAAAACACACAGCCACACATATACTATGAATATTTACATATGTGCACAGCCAGCCTCCACAGGGCAGTGCAGTCAAGTGTGCTCAGCACTTGCTCAGACACACATAGCACCAGTGGCCTTGTCCTGTTTTCCTTTCTGGCGGATCTGGAGGAGGATCCATCAGTGGAACATACACATACATGTACATTGACCCAGGAGCTGGGCTAATACACTCACTCTACCTGGTACCTGGCCAAGGATCCCCAGTCTCCCCGGTTGCTGGTATCTGGACATGGAGCTCCCGAGGAGGCCCACAGCCCCACTCCTGCTGCTGGTGTAGACCCCCTCACATACAACGCGTGGACGTGCCTGCCCACCCATACTGTGATCCCTCCTGTAGCTGCCCTTGAATGCGTGGTCCATCCAGGAGCTGGCCCAGGTGGCAGGGTCTCTTCTCATCTCCCCTGTAGCCAACTCCCTGTCATCTCACTTAAGGATACACACTCAGATGCCTCTCTCCTATGGCACTTAAGCTACATGCCAGCTAGTGTGGTACTACCAATGGCACCATTCTCACTCATATACCTTGTGCCAGTTGCACACAAGGACCCTCGAACTTGTGATCTGACCCAGTTGCTAACACTTAGACCTACACACATGCATGCAGAATGGGCACTCCCTCACACAAGAGAGTAGTTTAAATAGGAATTTAATGATATACAATAATTTTTTTAATCATTCATTTCAGTTAGGACAGTTTGTTTTTAATTCTGCCCATAGTTCTCTTGTAGAAAAGAAATGCTTTGTTACATTGTAAAAGACTTTGTTGAGCGGATTTTGAAAACTTTTCTTTTTAAAACAGGTCACTCCTGTAAACTTTTGAGAAAGAACATGGGACTAATTGTTATAAATGAAGGCTCCCTGGATGTAAGTAAAACCTACGAAGCTTTCAATCCAAAATGAAACATTGTGTTATTTAGCTACTTCAAATACTGAAGTAACTTCAGAACAATAATGGAACAAATTCCAAAATGCAAGAATTAGTAGTAGTGCCATCTTCTAGGCAAAGAGCTAGAAACTCCACATGCTTACAGAACACAAACTAATTGTAAGTTTCTTCTAATGCTATTTCTTAGGGACTTCTTAGTATATATATATAAAAAATTGTTATTATGTGGTGAAACAACTGAAATTGTAAGCAGAACACTTACCTACAAATTAAGATTGAAACCACCAATCTACAGGTCTTTGTGGGGATTTTTTTTTTTAGATAAGCAAATGCATGAGCAAATAACCAAATGCATAAATTTGCAATAAGCAAATGCAGAAATGTAAGTTGTAAGAAATTCTGTGAAGAGAAAAATAGAGCTCCTGTTAACCACTTTCTGAAGGAGCCTTAGATGAACTTTAAAAGGAAAGCCTTTCTCCAACTGACATATTTCCTGTACAGAAAGTTTCTGTAGAAAACTCCGAAGTTAAACTTGACTTACTCTGTGCTGATATGTGAAGGAAAAATACTGCAGAAGAAAAGGATGGCTATAGCTGTATAAATGCCATTTACAGAAAAAGAAATATGACCAGTTACTTGTTCTTCCTGCTCTTCTCATGACATTGTATGGTAGAACTTTGCTGTAACTAGCTAGATATGAGTGACCTCTCCAAAGCTGATTAAAAAATCCTGCTGCATAAAATCAAAGTGAAGGTATTGGCCACTGACTATAATCAAAAGCTCTTAGCACTGGATCACAGAATAGCAATTTGTGCAGGTGTGATTCAAACTCTCCATTGCAGCTGAAAAAATATGAAATACGGTCTTTTCTATAGCATATGATTGATGTTGGCTTATCCTAACAATGAACAAAAATATTTCTTTGGGTATTTATATGTGAATTTTCCCTCAGATAGGTATGTAAAAAACATACTTCAGTAACATCTGTTAGCAGTCATTTAGGCAGCTATTGTTGCTATTTAGAGAGCATTAAAAGTACCACGACTTCTGAACTTTTTTTCTTTTTTTTCTTTTTTTTTTTAGAGTGTTATAGCAATACTGTGGTTTCTACTAGCACATCTATTGAAAATATTTTTATGATATTATTATTTGATACTATATATTTGATAAATCTGATAGAATAATCAGAAGGTAATTTCCTTAAAAAGGTGAAGGCAGATGTTTCTGATCAAATTGAAAATATTATTGGATTTAAAAATAGCAATAGTAGGAATTAAAAATAATCAACTCTTACAATTTTATGTGCAATAGGGAACCAGAGAGACTCTTAGCCATCACTGCAGTACTCTTGGTGATGCTTTAAGGAAGGAAAATGATTTTGCTCTTATCATTGATGGTAAATCCCTGAAGTATGCTTTGACATTTGGAGTGAGACAGTATTTCCTGGATTTGGCTTTGTCATGTAAAGCTGTTATTTGTTGCAGGTAAGACTTACATTTTTCTTTCTCTACAGGTTTTAATAATATATTTTCTAATTCTAAGTAGGCAAATACGTATATGCATCTATGTCTTCCAAGCATGAAATAAAAAATCTATATTAGTTAAAATTCTGAAATGTTCAAGCGAAATATTTGTCTAGTGAAGAATGAAACAGGTGGGTACCTGTCAAAATAATTCAGGTTGTACATACTACAAAAATCAATTGTTGTCTAACAAAGATAGTCTCAGACATTTATATAAACCTTAAATTGGCAGTACAGTTATCTGCAGGTGTTGGCATCTCCAGAGTCTTTTGCAGAGCTCCCTCTTCAGGAAAGCATTTATGTCTGTGCCTTTTCTATAAAGCATGGATTACACTGTATAAGTAATACAAAAAATGTAAAAGATGTCATTCTAAGTGATACTTTTCCTTCCTGAAGTTGATGGAAATAGCTTCTTTATTTATTCTTTATTGTTCTGGGCTTCTTACAAAACAATCAGGTGTTTAAAGGAAACTTTTCCCAGATCAAAAAAAAAATGGATGCATGCACTCCAAATATGCAAAATATGAAAACAGTTCTAGTCTTTTTGCCGGTCTTTTCATACTTCCAGATTTATTTTAAAGAATACGTCATTACTGTAAAATTGATAGCTTATTTGTATTTTTGATGTGGCTCTAAACATAGAAACAGCAAACATCTCCTCTGCAGCATATCACATACACTTGATTGCAAGAAAAAGAAAAAGGATTTGCAGAACTATTAGCTAGATAAACAAGAACTGCTCCTGCTGTTGTTTAAACAAGTTGCCAAACCCAAGTAACTGAGCAGTCAAAAAGCAAAAGTCAATGACTGAATTTGGTCTTCTGCTGAGTGACTGTTTATGGTTTTATAATGATAAAGATTTGTCATTATTAACTCAAGTAGGACACCCTTGTTAGAAAAGCATTCAAAAATTCCACAACTGTGGAAATGACTGTTATTTTCATTAGTGTCTAGGGAGTCTGTAGCAAGAATATCCAATTAATGTTCTCGAGTTAATTTTACTATTTTGTTTACTAAGTTGTTTCCTATATTAGACCTGGAAAAATAAATATAAGCCATTCAAACTCTATTTCATAGCTTGCTGTTTATCAATAATAAATAGTATCATAGACTCAAATTCTCACAATTATTGTCGTACTGTAATTTTTAGGCATGTTTATCTTATAATGTTGCATCTAATTCCACTTTTCTTCGCATGGTCTGATTGTAATTGCTTTAGAAGAAGAATCTATGAAAAGGAAAGTCAGCCTGGATCTTGTACAAGAATAAAGTAATTCAGAGAATTTAGCACCGTTTCTTACCAAATTTAAATTTTCTTTAATAAATTATATAAGTATCTCTTTGCCTATTACTTCAGTATCTGAAAGTAAAGGGACATTTCATGCAGGTGTGGGAACTTGAAAATAAATAGACTGTCTGCTTTTCCTTTAAAACAACAACAAAGAAAAAGTTTTCACTTTCAGTTCAGGTATAGAGTTTAGAATGTTTCACTAAGGTAAAAACATCCTTCTGAAGAAGTAATATGTTCAAAATGGATCTGCACATTAAAATGGAAATTTTTCTGTCTTGCAAAAGGAGGGGAGAACAGTTTTTGGCCTTGATTTTTAAGGTTTAGCTTTGTGGCCATGCTCCAGCATGGAGGTCTCTTTCCAGCTAAAATCTTACACTGGAACTTGTGTGATGAATAAACACCGTTTTAATCACTTCCATGTTGTGACATCAGACCTTAGGACAGTCACAGGGGCAAGCAGGAGCTCTGCGCGCATTCTGCCAGTTCCAGTTCTGCTCAGCAGAGTAAGTAACAGGCAGTGGATGTGTGGAGAGCTGCTGTTTTGAAATCCCTGCTTCTCTCCTCGGTTTTCTTAACTCAGAGCTACGTTTCATGCTGTATAAAGAAACAGTACAAGCTTTTATTAAGCTGGAACCATTTTAGGATATGTGGACAAATAGTTTTATTGGTAGGTTTTCTGTGGCTAAACAACAGAAAGTACAAAATCAGAGTTTCTGTTCTAGTAACATTCTGCCTGCCGTTTCTACATTTCCAAAATATATTTAGGTCAGCCAGTTTCAATAATTGTTGAGGGATATGCTCTGACATATTTTAAAAATTGGCTGCAGGTTTAAAACTAAAATATTTACTTGTAACACTCCTTATGTTAGCACATGTGGATTTTTGAAAAGTATCGCTTGCTTTTCAAAAGCCAAAATTATACCAAAGGTTTTTTTTTTCTGTTAATTCTTCATCTTTAAATTTTATCATTTTTAATATATGTTTTAATCTTTTCTCCTGGTCAAAGACAGAGAAAGACAATTTTAGTTAATAATGCAAATCACTTCCGCCTGAAAACACTATCCCTTGAGAAAATCAAGATACAGACTTCTTCCATCCAAATAAAGGCAGTAAACACTTTTAAGCACTCCTTGGTTCTATAACTACAAATTACATCATTTTCTTTGACGTTTTCGGATTGTATTCATTTGTTCAGAAGCATTTATTGCCAGTGAACCCCTCCTAAGAGTAGCCATAACACAGATGAAGCTGACAAACATTCAGTAGACTTTTCACTTCAAAAAATCTGCATATGCTATTAATTCCAAGCAGATGTTTGGCTTAAAGACTTAGACTAGCTGAATTCCAGCCCTATATTGGCTTCCAAGGAATATGTGTATAAAGAATGTTAAACTGATGATTCTGTAGTAAAAAAACATACAGCTTAGTGTGACCAAAGTGAACGGAAGGTACTTTTTTTAGCTTTCACTATAAATTTGAAGGTATCCAGTATCCAGTATGTATTTTGCTTTCATGTGGTCTTGAAAATAAGTGTCATCTTCCAACTGCCCCAATAATATTGTCCAAAAGGGAAATAACCTATTGTTCCTTGAAAGTTAAATAGATAAAAAACCATTTTTAAAATGAGCTTTCCACTTTTTTTCATTGCTGGGTAGACACAGGAAGTCCTTCGTCATCATAATTATAAAAATCCTATTGTGTCAGAGAGAAACATCATTTTGGAACTTTTTTTTTTGGAATCTCAGAATATTAGTTTTTTATATATTATTTCAGTTCTCAAGTCAGGGATCTTCTGTAAAAGCTGGCTGTGGCTAGTCTCGATATCTCATCAAGCAGTGTTCAAATAAGATATATAACATATATAATCTTTTGATCATAGAAAAACTTCTTAATATACTTGGACCATGGAAATTCTTTCAAAGGGCTTTGCCTAGGAGCTGTCAACTCAATTTCTGCATAAAAATGTACAGAACTATTTTCAAAATTTTTAAGATTTATTGCACAGGCTGCTGAATAAAGTATCTAGATAGAGACCTTCAATCCAAAGTCTGTATTATTTTTCATTTCTTTCTTTTTTTGCTTTTGGAGGATCATACAGTTAGACTTTACCTAACCTCTTTTTGACTGATTGCAGTCGAAGTTTAAGAAGTTTTACTTCGTTGGCACAGGATAGGCATTGGGGGATGTTTTCAGCTGAACAGTCATCACTGTCAGGTGGATTGTGAGTAAGTGTCCTCGGCACATGGAGAGAAAGATTAGAAAACTGGATTATAGGTATAAGGATGTGTCCCAGGAGGAATTAGAAGATGCCAGGACATGAAGATGCCAGGCTCCCAGTTTTGTTTAGCAAGACTGTCCCACTGTCACTATGGCCAAGGAAAGAGAGCCCATCACCATTACTGGGAACTCATTAACTCAGTAGCGTATGCAGTGTTTTGACTTCATCTACCTTTTTTTTTTCTCTCTGTAATTTCATAAGGTAGACAAAATGAAAAATAATCACATTCACTAGGGGAAAAAAAGAAAAAGCTTTTTTTTTTTTAATGAACAATGTGCTTCATACTATTGCTTTGTATTTCTTCTGTGACAAACTGAATCAGATCACGTATCATTAATTTCCGTAGGAAAAGAATTATTTTGGCGTTATGGACTAATGGCATAAACCAATAGGTGTGGTGTATATCAGAGTCGTCATGATTATTCTTGGATTAGAAAGATTAAATAGCCTCTGTTTTAGTGGGGAAGTGTTTTCCTATCATGGAAAACTATTGTGGGTTTTCAGAAATAAGAGCCATTTTCAAGACTGTTTCTCCTTCTGCTCTCCGTGTTTTGATTTTCTCACACCTTTGTTACTTGGATTTTGTCAATAAAAGAAGTAGAAGAGAGGTAATAAAATGAAGTGTGATGTCAGAGGTTTTATAGTCTCTTTTTTTTCTCTGAGCTTTTTCACTGCTCTCTTGCTTCTATTTTTTTTTAAAAGAAATAAAAAAGAAATCAGTCATCAGTCTCAGTGTCAATTCTAAGGAAAGTTTTCTTTTTTTTTTTCTTTTTCCCTAATCATATAGCCTGTCTGTCCTGTGAACATTGGATTTTGTTATCTCTCAGCAAATAAAATATCAACCAGTTGTTTTTTCTTTTTTTTCATACAAGCAGAGTGGAAGATGTTTGGAATCACCATTAGCTTCAACCAGACATGTAATTGCTTGTTGTTGTATGTCCTATTAGCAATGGTAGAGGTTGCAGGTAGTTAGAAAGTGAAGGCCAAACATTGCTGTTAATGAAGGTAATTGTAATTAGGTAATAATGCTTCATTAAGGTAATTGGTGCATCATTGTTCATAAACCAAGAAACTTAATTGTATGTGGAGAATTTAACTTATTTTCATTTTTTAGTTTGAAAGAGATTTTGTTGTGTTTTGGCCTTTTGTGGGCCAGGAGGAAGAATGGTGATGAGAAAGTTCATATGTCAAGGTGGGAAGAGAACCTTTTCTCTAGAGAAGCAGTTGAGTTCCTATAAAGAGCAATGAACTGTAGCTTACCAGAGCGGCCAATGTCAAGAGAAGCAGATGCTTTAGCCTTGGCTGTAATGACAGTGTTCAGCGAGGAGAAAGGAGCATCCTATTATGCCAGGAGTTTCTGTTGACTAATAATATGACTAATGTATATAGTTGGAAAGATTTTTCTTTTCTTTTGTAGGTGTTTGGGCTTTTTTTATTGCTATCATTAGCACACTTTTCAGATCCTATCAAAAGGATCAGATAGGACAGTGATTTTGTTACATTAACTTACTTGATTTGGTAAAATTCTTTTAGCTGGAGTTCTTCAAACTGGAAAGAACCTGCCCTTCAGGAATCAATTTTGATGGTATATTTTTCAAGTATCCTGAAGTCTCTCAGAACTCACCTACTCATGAGAGTAGTCCTTTGGGACCTTGAACTTGCAGGATCACAGGATGGTTAAGGTTGGAAGTGACCTCTAGTGATCATCTAGTCCCACCCCTGCTCAAGCAGGGACACCTAGAGCACGATCAGAAGAAATCTCTGTGGCTGCATGGGTGCTGTAATAGTGCTGGATTTGTTTTTCAAACCTGAAACAACTAGGTTATGGTATGAGCATCCCTTTATCATCCAAGCACTGACCTTTGGCACTACAGGGAAAATCTCACGTTGCTGGGTGGGATTTCATCCATTATTCCATTTTAGGGGCCTATTACGAGATCACAGCAGGCCTGTGCATGAAGATGATGTTTGACATGTGTGTCTCCCATCTTACTTAAATTCAATATTTGCATTAAACTTACTAAGAAATGTGTTTTTTCATATAACTTAAAGGGCAATAACAAAAAGTTGTCAACGACTGGGATGTTAATTGGCTTATTTTTAATAACTTGTAGCAGAACAAAGTTTGTTTTAAAAGTACGTTCATTTTAAATTCCTATATTAAACCTTTTGCTTTCTTTTGCCATTTAGGGTATCTCCACTTCAAAAATCTGAAGTTGTAGAAATGGTTAAAAAACAAGTTAAGGTAGTAACTCTAGCCATTGGTGATGGAGCAAATGACGTTAGTATGATACAAACAGCACATGTTGGTGTTGGTATTAGTGGGAATGAAGGTCTACAGGCTGCTAATTCTTCAGATTACTCAATTGCTCAGGTAAATTACAACACTGTAAATCATTAATCTGCTATTAAATTACTTGTAATATCAATACGTCCGTGTTCTAAGCATGTGCTTTCTCTTGTTTGCAGTTCAAGTATTTGAAGAACTTGTTGTTGGTTCATGGTGCCTGGAACTATAACAGAGTAGCTAAATGCATCTTATACTGTTTCTACAAGAATATAGTCCTTTATATTATTGAGGTAATTTTACTTTTTGAAAGCTTTAAGCATTTATTTTGAGCTTTTGGTTAATATATGTGATCTTTACAGTAAACGCTTATTGGCCTGAATCTTTCTGTATAATAAGCTGATTAATCTTATAGTCTGATTTTGTTACTTTTGCTCATGTACAAATACCTAGTGAATATGAGTGTTACATTAGTACTGAATATTTGCATTGCATCATACTACTAGCTTATTAATACTTATCTGTAACATGTTACAGTACCTAAGGGATACAGCTGTAAATAGTCTTAAATTTGCCAAGAAATGTATGTGCTTAAGCAGTTTGTTGAACTGCTCTCTGCAACTGTCCAGTTTGCAAACTGAATGCCCATTTCAGACCACTGCAGAACTGCATGTTTAGGCTGTTGCTGTTCGGAAGAAATATTTTGTGTTTTCCATGCACGTGCTCAATCACACCCCTGCACTACACCTTTTACTTTTTAATGTGCAATCCATGCTGCTTTTAGGCACGTGAGTAGATTTCAATGTAATATCAAAAAGTTTATTGTCTAGGAAGCAATGCAAAGAAATGCTCTGTTAGAAATCCTCAGTTGGTTTAAAAATGACAGTAGTCTTAAATCCTGCATTTCCAAAACCAAGCATGAATTCATGATGCATTTGTTAGCTGTAACTCTTCATCAGTATTTTTTAAGTTCTTCAACCTCTTAGCAAAATGGTATTAAATACCATTTAAATGAATAGCTAAATAAATATTTAAAATAGTATTAAGTATATTGTAGTTATGGAAAGAATAAAAAATTCAGCTTTAGGACATATTGCCTTATTTTTCTTAGTTTTATGTTACTGTCACCTGTGCAGTCTGTGAATTTAAATCTTAAATCATGAATAAATATCTCCTTATTTGTATTCTCTTGTGCAAGAAAGTTTAAGGTAAAAGGTACAGAGTTTGTAATTTAAAAAATACAAAAGAGAGGCAGATGGAAGGGCAAAGACATTATTTTTATGTGCATTATTACATTTCATATATAGCACCTACAAGCATTTTATCATATATACCTTCTCTGAAAGACGAGATGACTTTACTTGAATTCCTATATACCCAACCCTTGTCAGCTCAGAAAATCTTTTGCACATGTTATTAGCTCGTGTCAATACTGTGGATGAATGGGCAGATATTCATCACTGAATGTCTCTAGAAGGGACAACTGCCAGTTTCAAACTTCTTTTCAGTGGTTTGTACTGATGAGGCATGGGAGCAGCGGGCTCAGTGAGTATCTGTAAGCTGCTGCTTGATCAGCAGACGTGCTCATACCTCAGGAGAAGGCCTTCAGAAATCCACCTTCAGAAAATAACATCACAAAAAGTCTGCCTGGAAGTTGCTTTAAATCCTTTTATTTGCCGAAGGCTAATGAAATTATCTATCTTCATTTAATATATGCATTTTTGCATGTAAGTGTCTGTTTAGTACTAATCAAACAAGTAATAGGATAGGTGCCATTTAATGTAAAGCACAGCTTTTTTCCTAGGCACTTGTGCCTTGATATGAAATAAAGGCCATTGATTTCTTAGTGCTGAACAGGTTAAAGTTCTGTAGCAGCAATTTCTGTATGTTTAAGCTCCTATTTATAAGAAACTAGACGTGGTCTCTAAAAGCTTTTTCCACTCTTCATTTCAATAGATATCTAAACATAGACCTCACTTATTGTATGGGACCAGTTTCCTGAGATTATGTACTGAAATATACATTTATCTCTCCAATCCCGATATTTTTTACTTTTGTCTAATCCTACATCTATCTCGTTTCTTTTTTTTTATCTCCCAAGTTTTACATAGCTAAAATTGCATATGGTATCTTTTTTCCCCAAGTGTTTGCATTCTTCTAATAAGTTTGACACTTTTCCTGTTGCTCATGTCTATAACTGAAGTTTATCATTTTATTCCTGATTCATCTGATATGACAAACTAGAGAACCCTTACAATCATATTCAGATCCTAACATGCATAAATCCAAACCTAAGGAGACTTTCTTAGGAATACTCAGATTAATAGTGAGCCATAAAGTTTAGGATTTGTTGTTCTGTCACTTATGCTAAGAAGGGGGACAGTTAAATCACAGAAGGTCCATATGCTACATAATCAGTTTGCTTAATGTATGCAAGCTGAATTCAGTTTAGTTTAAAACATGGACATCAGAAGTGATAGTGAGCATGCTCAACTTTTTGTTACACAGTTTGAAAAATTAGGAATGTATGGATCCCCATTTACAACCTGTCTCATTTTTCACTGATTATGAATCTAAATCTTTATTTTCATTGGGAAACTCTATTGGACTATAAAATAGTCTCCATCTTCATTTCTCCCTCACTTACACAGTCTGATTCACTTCTCAAGGACACCTGTCATCTTTCCTTTATGCTGAGATGCTGGATTAATAATTTGAGCACTTTGAGTAGGGTCTGCCTTCCCTAAGAAGCTTCCTAAATTTGCTCCTAAATCATTATGTACCATATTCCCTGAACACTAATATTTTATAGAGAGAGGTGTTTTACAGCAGCCTCCATTGCCTATCATAATCAGGATGAAAAACATTTGTCCATGAAGACAGTTTCCCACTGTGAAGCTCTTTCCTGTTGCTATTAATACTGTAGTAAGCTCTGTAGAGTTTATATTTCTGTTTTTATATCAAGGTTAAGGATGCAATTTTCTAGAGTTCAGAGGTTAAGAGTGGGGTTAAAAGGTGATCTACTCTTCTCACTTTTTCCAGCTTGAGATGAGGGCTGTATTTATCCTTGCTCACACATATATATATGTATATATATTATTTTCTCCTTAGCTGCTATTTTTTTAAAACTGCTGATGTTCTTATTGAAAACATTTGAATACAGTTAATTCTTCCAAGATTTCTTACAAGCAAAAGAAAGCCTGTGCTTCTGCTTAGACCTCGAAGATTCTCTAGATACTCTGTCTCTTAACAGTCTTACAACTGGTAGGCTAGTGGGTTATAATAGTGAAAAGTATAGCTGTTAATGTTAAGTAATTGAATTGTAATTGTAAATGAATTGTAATTGAATTAGTACTTTGGTGAGTCTGTTAAGTTTAAGAAGGTGGACAGAAATTTAAATAAATTCTCTGATGTCCCAGTATTGCAAGTTCTACCATTCATACTTTTGCATGCAATCTTGCTGCAATAAATGGCCTTCAAAAAGTCTATATACTTTTCATTTCATTAAAGTTTTCGCTGGATTTTAAATCTAATTTCATTTTTCTCCATACCAAGATATTCACAAAAATGTTCCAACACTCCTTCACATTTGAAATATCATGAGCTCTTTCATAGGATCTGGTGATCTGCAGACCAGGCAGCTTGAGTGCATATAGATAAATGTAGCATTATGATAGCAGTTCATGCTTCTGTAATGAAGATAAATGAAACATGAACTGTAGCAAAGTATCTGCAAAGCTAAAGCTGAAAATTCACCTGACCAGTGTTTCAGGATTTCTTTTTTCTTTAATGCCATCCTATACCTTATCCATTATCTAAACTGAATTAGAGCTTTTAAGCTGGAAGTGCATATTTGCCTTTTGATACTGCTGCTGTTATATGTTGCCAAAAGGGTTTTTATTTAATGTTTTCTGGAAAATAAGTGTCTTAGAGTAGAATATTGTTTAGGTGGTCATAACTTTTGTTGCCCTAAATAAGTATTGTCACACTGAATAATGTACTGAAAAACATAAGAAAATGTGGATGAATCGTGCCTCTCGTTCCATTTTTTAAATCTTTTAGTAAACTGGTAATATTTATGCCAAAAAGGCTCTCAACTACCCTTCTAAAGTGCTCTATAGTTGAAGTAGTTTTTGTTAATTGTGCAAATGTAATTGAATTAGTACTTTGGTGAGTCCTCGTTTTCCCATGAGTTTCAGGTAAGAGAAAGGACCCAAGTTCAAAATTACAGCTTACTCCATGAATTCCATTAGTTTGGGAGGATTCTACTAATTAGTAGATGAGTGCTTTTAATCTACAGTTTTTTTTCCTGAAACTTATGTCTTTCTCAGAATTCATATTTCGTTAAGACTGAAATACAGTTCAAATGTAATGAGCTAAATAATTTGTGAATAATTGAAGAACATCAAGTTCCTTCTGAAAACAGCTATCTCTTTGAAGTGCTTTCATATTTGGACAAAATTGCTCACATTTTTGATGACATTTTCCGTCATGTCTTCTGAAAATAGGCTCTTTTTGGATTATTTTTTATATAGCTCTCAACCAGAGTATTCCCAACTGTGTTGTACATGTGACCTATGAATACCCCTCTTAGTGATGCAGAGGAAAAATATATTTACCTTATATCTTACCTTGCAAGAAATCAAGACATTTGATTAATGTATTTCTTCTTTTTCAGATCTGGTTTGCTTTTGTTAACGGTTTTTCTGGACAAATTCTTTTTGAAAGATGGTGTATAGGTCTTTACAATGTGGTAAGATGCTTTGTTTACTTTCAGTTTCTGTCTCATTCATGTAAGTTTCTTAAGCAAGCTTTAAAGCAAGTGCTCTCATTTCCAGTTTTGCAATATGCTTTTTTTTTTTTAATACATATACTAGATGTTTACAGCAATGCCTCCATTAACTCTTGGAATATTTGAGAGATCTTGCCGAAAAGAAAATATGCTGAAATATCCTGAGTTGTACAAGACTTCTCAAAATGCACTGGACTTTAATACTAAAGTAAGTCAAAATATAATTAAAGCAATAGTAATTCAAAATAGTAACCATTTTGATTTTTTTTGCCCTGCATATTCTCATATTTAAAAGTGGTGTGGGCATTTGTTGCTGCTGTTTCCTGTAGTAGTCCAATGGTCTGTGAATGGCACAAATCATATTTTCCATTTTTAGCAATATGAAAAAAGATGAGCATTTTTTTTTCTCTGCTGTTAATAAAACCGTCTTCTGCAGGCAAAACGGATTAGTGTTCTCTGTCATCAGGCTGTATATATTTGTACTATTATATGGAAATGAATTATCAAAGCATGTGGAGAAGTATTGCAAGGGACAATTAGAACTGTTATTAGATTTATAGAGGAAAGCACGTAGCACTACTCCTTGTCAATTTTGAGTTTCAATTTCATCATCTCATTTGGAATTTTAGGGAAAAATACTTTGATATATTTAAAATGTGTGAGGATGAATCAAAAGAAAACTGAGGCTACTGTTCATAGAAATTGGCAATATTTGTCTTGCAAAAACTAAAAAAATAGGAGAACTAAGTAGGACTTCTTAATATATAAAATATACACAATTTTTATAGATATAGAATAATCCCTATTAAAAACAAATAAGAAACTTTTCTGAATCTGCAATTTTATGTATGTAGGTGACATTTGTAAGACAGTTCTTTATGGTCTGATTTGATTTTTCTAAACATTGTTGGGATGTTTCAGGTAATTTCATTTTATGTCGAACTTGGAGGTACATTCAATTTACCATTGAATTAGCATGTGAGGGTTTGTAGCGGATGTCGAAGTGCCAGTTTTGTTACGGAACTGAAGTATTTTTATGGAATTATTTGTCTAGACCATCTTTGTTCATTGAAGCCTATGAGATTTTTTTTCTCCTGCACCTTTTCCCTCACTGTCCCAGCCAGCTTCTTGTGTCACTGTGAGTGCTGTACAAATACGAGAATTTTCATGATCTGTTAATATAGTCACTTCTGCGTTACAGTAGTTTTAATACAACAACATATGTGAAAAGCATCACAGTAGCTGAATTGTTATGTTTAAAATGATAACTCTCGAAACTTCCAGTATTGCACAAATGTCTTCTTGTCTTCAGTGGAAATTCTGTGGCTCTTCCCACATAATCCTTGAAATGGGGTAACTGTCTACAAAATTCCCAGCTATAGAGGTTGAATAGTGGAAACATTGCTGCCCTGAATGTTGATGCAGATGTTTGTTATGGTAAAAAGGATCAAAGGTTGCAAGGTCATGACAGAGGTTAAAGGATTAACATGTCACAATAAGTATTGGTTAGGAAAATGGAAAAGTAGAACTAATTTTTCTTGCACCCACCTGTGCTTTCTGTCAAATAAAAACTTGTGGTAATGACACAGCAAGAAGGAGAGACAAAGGTTAATGAGTAGCACAAGTTCAAATGTGCAAAGTACTGGAGTGTAAATTGGATCTACAACCTGGTGTAGCTATATGATCCTAACAAAAGGCTTTGAGACGTCGTGGAAAATGTCGTGAGGCAGGCAACTTAATTTCTATTGTTTGAACACCTTAAAACTTGTAATACTTGTCAGCTAGTTACAATAAAAGCTGTGTTTGTAAAAAGCGTTTTTAATGAGAAAACATGATTGCTATCCCAAAGGACACAAGTTACATATTTCTGATTACGTCTTTTTCTATCTTTATACAATATACCATGTAAAGCATTAATAGGATGACTATGTTTACAGTTAATACTGTTCTTCTCAGATGGTATTTCTTTTAAGTGGGTATGTACTTGAAAGTGAAATCAGAATTATTTATACATTAAATATAATGAAGTTATGCCCTTAAAGAATGGAGCGTGTAAGAAGAAACCTGAGGAAGGTATATGTGTTTGTCCTTTTAAGTTTATTTCTATGTAGAAATATATAGATAGTTATGTGTAGAACTCTAGTTCTACACCTCTTTCAAAACAAACAAACAAAAATGGCCCATGAAGCGCTAAGAGGCATAAAGTGCCTGTCAGTTATATTACCTCACAGTGGTGGCTTGACAGAAACACATTTTGTGAATCTAACCCACAGATAAAAAGAAAGGTCAGGGTTCACAGAGCTAGTTTATTGCAAATGGTTCTCATGGAGTTTTGTTTTCCCTTAGGTTTTCTGGGTTCATTGTTTAAATGGCCTCTTCCACTCATTCATTCTCTTTTGGTTTCCACTAAAAGCCCTCCAGCATGGTAAGTGTATAAAGCATATATATGTGTCTGTGCGTATGTGTATATATATATATATACACACATATAAAATTTTGAAAGATACTAAATTTACTTTAAGAACTCTTGATAAATGCTAACAGTTTTGTGGAATTAAATTTTAAGTTATCATTTCTAGAGCTAGAGAGGAATATGCAATCTATTTTAAATGTGGCATGTTTAAATTATGTTTAAAAATACAAGAAATATAATGTAATATGTATGAAATTATATAAATATACTTGAAGCAAATAGAAACCATATGGAAGGAAAAAGGACTGGTGATTAATTACCCTGCTTCTGTATAATAATGTACTGTGTTGAATACTTGTGAAATGCTAAGTCAGTCACTACTGCCTCTTGCATGTTTTTGCAAGGCCCTTATAGCCTGTGCCTATAGCTTCTCTCCTTTTGGGGATGTACAGACCCGTTGGTAAACCCCTGTATCACTGGCTTTGTGACAAGTGAAACCAGGATATCTTAGACAGCTCAGTCCTGTCACCGTTCTTGTTCCTGTTTTATGTGCACCAGAGAGGCAGAAGGAAACTAGAGGCTTTTCAGGCAAGCCATAATAATTAGAGGAGGCCGAAGGCAGTGTTTCCAATTAATTGGAATGTTTATGTGTATTGAGGCTGTCATAGGGGTGGGGTTTATTTTGTTTCAATTTCGGTTTGTAGAAAATGTTTAAATATACAGAAAGGGTGTACCCAGCTTCTGTAAAAGTAGTAGTCCTCTCAGTTCCCCTGATAATAATTCGCCCTAGTACAAGGGGCACAGAGATATTCTGATCATCTCTTAACGTTTTGGAACTTCAGGAAGGTTCTGGTGTTTGACAATAGATTGTGAGAAGGTCTCGGGGAAAAGCTCAAGAGAGAAACTGTTCTGCAGAGTATTTTATACTCAGTAACTTTTGATGGGCGAACAAAGTAGGCAACAACCTCGCTTTCCATGAAATGCACGTGAACGCAAGTTCACTGGCTGCTACTTATGTTTGAGAGGATTGTAAACAATCCAGAAGAAAGCTCCCAAAATGTCCAATATCAAAAATAAAGTTCTTATATATTTTATCATTGTGGATATTTAAATTTTTTAATGTTTTTATTGATGCTCTTCTCCAGGCACTGTATTTGGCAATGGTAGAACTTCAGATTATCTGCTCCTGGGGAACACTGTTTACACTGTAAGTTTTGCTATAGTTACCTAGTGCTCTATTAGCTGATTATTTATTTTTGTTTATATTGACTCAGTCTTTACATTTTATGCAGAGATGTGTTTTTATTTATAGCTATATATGTAGAAGCATTGATTCAGCAGAGTGCCTTAAGAATAAGAAATGGAGAAGTTTTGCACTCGTTGGATATAAGTTTTACCTGACAGATTTAGCTTTCCTCAGATCCCTCTCAGAAGTAAAATTAGAGTTGCCATCCCTTTCTTCTGTTCTTGGAAAATAAACTTTATTTTTTTATTTTTGGTCTAGACAGTAAAGAAGTTCATCCAGAAAAGGGGTCTATGCTGTGAATATAAATCTGTATCAAAATCTAGTTCCTAATTCAATCAGGAAAAAGTAAAGCCTCATACCTGAAAGAAATAAAGGTATTCTAGAAAAAATGGTAATTATTTGAAAATGTAGGCATGTGTAGCTACTAAAGGCATCTGCTGCCTAAGAGATAATTTTAAATAGTGGTTTCTAGTCAGCTAACATATAGTCTGTTCTTTTTGCTGCTTTGTGAGAGCATAAAGGGCAGAGTATCCATAGGCCTTCTTGTACTTTTTTATTATTATTATTTTACTGCTGTAGTAGTGAAAATAAAATGGTTCTTCTGTCACTTTTTCCAAGACACTGAGCAGGTTCTTTCAGGCCACATTGAAGAATTCTGCATTAGGACATTCTCTGAGGAACCTGTTTGCGCTTCCTTCCTTGCCTATTATAAAAGGCAAAGCACAGCATATTTGTTAGCAGTAGTCACATACAGTTGTGCAGTCCACTGTACAATGAACTGATCTGCCTTAAGAATGGATGGAATAACCTCAGTTGCATGTGCAAAATTAAGATGTAAGGTCATACTCAAGCATGGGAATTCCTTGCGTGAGTCTGCTTTTCAAAAAATATGTGCATGTAAATGTCTGCACTGATGCTTGAAATAGTCATAGTCTTGAAAAATCCAAATCGTAACAGGTTAAGGAACTTTCCTTTCTTCTTCTGCTTTTAATCTGTATTTAGGAATTCTGCACTCAGGAGCATGCCCATTAAGAATAAAAAGAAAAGATTTTACCAGAAGTAACCTAGAAATATCAGAGAGGGATTCCTGTGTCACTGAACAACCTGTTTTAGATGATACATAACACAATAAATTATGCCAAACAGAATACTTTCATTTCAGTATGCCAAATGAACTGTCTATCCAACGTGCCATTTTAGGAGGCTTTTGAAAAAAATCGTTAATCTAGGCATCAAGTTCCATGAATCCCTCTCTTATAAAAATAATTTTAAAAAAATTTAAAAAATGAATCAGCAATTAATATAGGTTCTTTAGATCCACAAACAAACTCAGGAATGTGTGCTGATTCATATCATGTCCTAGAATTAATTACCTCTTTGAACATAAACTTCAAATAGCAACAGAGTCCCATGAAAATATTTGTATGACCATTCTTAAGAGGTCTTTTCAGCTCAACAGTGTATACAGAAATAACAATTTGATTTTGTGTTCCCTGGGCTGGATTCTGTTGAGCTATCATTAGTTTGGGACAAGGAGAGAATGGGGCAATAAAACACAAATCCTTGAGGAAACAGCTGTGCATATCTGGCAACTTTTTTAGGGGAAACAGTGAAGGTGCAAAGAGATGAGATATTCATGCAATCTGTAACTTTTTAGAGAGACCTGCAGCAGAGTGCATATGTGGGCTATGTATGTATTTTGTCTATACAATGAAAATTCTTACTCTGATCCTAAAGAATGTGGGTTGGATTTTTTTTTTCCTAATGACTGACTCAAAAATAGCAAGCAAGTGTAGCATATGAGAAGTGGGATATATTTTTTTTCCTCTATAATTCTACATTTTTCCACTTGGCCAAATACAGCACTGGTTAGACTAGGTAAATTAAAACACTCATCAAGCACCTTAAATTATCTGCTAATCAGATTTTACACATGTTCTGGATAATGGAGCTGTAGAGGTGTAATTTGTCATCCTAAATAGTGCAGCATTAGTTGAAACAGGAGATTTCAGAATTAAAAGCATAAACTGTTACAGCTGGAGTGAAAGCTTTCTAGGAAGATTTATATCCATCTATGCCCGAAACATAAAGGACACGTCAAATATATCCCTTCCAACTGAAGGAAATTTCTTCTGAGTGTCTGAGACTCGCTGAAGTTCAAACACAGACAAACTCCCCCATCTTGGCCAGCAGGCTAGATCTTAAACCATAGATGTCTGAAACTAAAACAGAGCTATTATAGATGGTGCTTGGTCTTTGTGGCCCATTTTGTCTTTCTTATGTTCTTCAGATTGCAAACAGAACAAAACCTGACTTACAAAACTAGGAACTATTTTTTAGTAATTGGAAAACTTGATTGTTTATGTAAATTTACAAGAAAGGAGATAAGCGTTTTCCTAAATCAGCCAGTCTCTGCTATAGGACTATAAACTTTCAACTACTGCCGGTTTCAGAATGATGTGATGTTTTTAGAGATTGTGCCATAAATAAAGATAAGAAAAAAACTAATATAGAGAAAAAAAAAGGGGAAAAAAAAATCAAAATGTATTCATTGTGCGTTTGGTACGCAGAACATAGATCTTACTTAGGCTTTTAACATTAACACTTGAAAATGAAAATAATGAGCAAAAATAATTAACCTTTGTGTTCTATATTCTGCTGAATATGTAACTAAACTAATCAAACCATATGTTCTAAATACAATATTTTCTCTATATATTTTTTTCTCTTTTTCTTTTTTTTTTCTTCTTCCAGTTTGTGGTTCTTACTGTGTGTTTGAAGGCTGGATTAGAGACCTCGTACTGGACTTTGGTAAGGAAATATTTCGTATCATATTCTCAAAAGTGCTATAAAAATATCATTATTTTGTTCCTGTTTATTATATTATGTCTTTAAAGTCTGCCAGTCACAATATCTAAGTAAATTATTAAGTACATTGCTGTGTGGAAAGACCAAATATAGCATTGAATAGCAGCTCTGCGGAGAGGGATTTGGGAGTCCTGGTTGACAACAGGTTAACCATGAGGCAGCACTGTGCCCTCGTGGCCTGCATCAGGAGGAGCGTTGGCAGCAGGTCGAGGGAGGGGATCCTGCCCCTCTGCTCAGCTCAAGTGAGGCTGCACCTGGAGTACTGGGTGCAGTTCTGGGCTCCCCAGTGCAAGAGGGACATTGAGCTTCTAGAGAGGGTCCAGCGTAGGGCCATGAAGATGATTAAGGGACTGGAGCATCTATTGTATGAGGACAGACTAAGCGAGCTGGGCCTGCTTAGTCTGGAGAAGAGAAGACTGAGAGGAGATTTGATCAATGTGTTCAAGTACCTGAGGGGTGATTGTAGGGAGGATGGGGACAGGCTCTTCTCCGTGGTGGCTATTGCTCGTGCTCTGCGTGTTCCTGCTTGAGCAGCGGGGTAGGACCAGGTGGTCTCTAGAGGTCTCTTCCAACCCCAGGCATTCTGTGATTCTGTGAATAGTGAAAAGGATGACTTTGGTATAAGGCCTAAAGTAATCTCTAAATTAGAAGAATCAAATATCCGTTAGTTGATTGTAATTGAACTTAAATTGGTTTAAAACACACTAGCAATTATTGCTGTTGCTGAAAGTATCATCTTGCTTTAACAAGTATCAGGCTAAAGGAACAGAATTAAATTAATGCTAAATATGGAAATTTCACCCAAAACATCAAAGTTCAAAGTAAACACTAAGCAGCAAAGATCTTTTCCTATGTCGTAACATGTCTGTGATGATTATTCTTTGTCTGTGTCTGTTTCTCTCTCTCTTTTTTAACAGTTCAGCCATATAGCTATCTGGGGCAGCATAGCACTTTGGGTAGTGTTTTTTGGAATCTACTCTTCTTTGTGGCCAGTCATTCCTATGGCACCTGACATGTCAGGAGAGGTAAAGTATATTTTAACTCATCTCCAAATTTATGTTAAGAATACTGTTTTGATTTTCACTACAGGTCTAATCTTTATTAGATACTTCTGCTGAGTAGGGGTTTGCAAGAGTTTCTTCCTCTATACATCCAATAGAGTAGCCATGTTTACTTAAAATAGAATGAATTTTTACTCTAGTGAAAATGAAGATCAGCTGTCAGGCTATGAGTCTATATTATAATGAAGGAGAAGTAGCAGGTAAGATGCTTGACTGTTTTTTTTGGTAAGTTGGATTTTTTTTAAGAGCTGTCTTACAAACTCAGAGCTCAGTAAAATTATTCTGCATATAAGTATGCAGAATATTTGAGACTGCTGGAGACTTCAGAATGGAGTAGTGCTAGTAGTATATTAGTTATGGTTGTCTTTTCATCAGAATTTACAATTTTCTAAATTTTCTGATTTTTTGAAACTATGAAATTCATCAAACATTTGAGGGGCCCTAAAATTACATGAGCAAACGTATACATTTCTTCTTTTATTAATTTGTCGCTTGGATTATGTTGTTGTGTGCTACCCTTAACCTTTTGTTTTGCTTTTATCCTATTTGCATATATCTGCTCTGTCAGTTGCAAATAGGACTGAGTCCTCAAAAGTCCTGCTGTTGCCACCTGCCTAACAAATAAGGGACCATATTCTTCCTAGTCCTCATCACAGATCCTGAAACAGCAGGGATATCTGCTTACAGAGAAGTGTTAAAATAGCTTTTCTCCACTATGGAGAAGTTGGCCATGTCACGACCTATTTGTTTAGACCTACTACATAAAATGAGTCTTACCCTTGACCCTTATTTTTTATCTCTATGAAATCCTATAAACAGCTGGTGTACTTAAATTATTTTAGACAGATACTTTTCCAAAATTGTTTTTCTACAGCATCTTTATTCTGCTACCAGAAGTATAAATAATCATAGAATTAGAATTAGACATAGGAACTGCTTATTTCTTCTGATTGGTCAAAAATGCTAAAAGATACCCTTGTCCAAACTACATTCTGAATTTCACAGTGCTATGACCTGCTCTGGAAATGGAAGGCTGTTTAATTTGATGTTGTGATTAAAGTATATTTCTTGCAGTCGTCTTCTGAAGTCTTATATTCTTCTTACAATAAAGAAATAGCTAATAGAAAACCTGTAATTTGCATCACCTAATCAGAATAGCTACTTGATGTTCCTGTGTAAGCAGGTTTATAAAGCTGCTAGAACCTTTCAGTTAATCTTTCTATTCTATCAGCTTTTCTTTTCAATGTCACTAAATGGAAGCACATTGGTTGGGGTGGTTTTGTTTTGCTTTTTCCTTTGAATGATAAGATTTGATACATTTCTAACCTGGTATATTTTCTCTTTTTTGAACAAATACATTTATGACTTGAGCTGCAAAACTTTAAGTGGGAGAGAATAAATAAAATAAAGCCTGTCTGTATTTTGTATTTATGCAGCAATTTATGAGGCAGTGTACTCTTTAAGGAAAGTGTTAGCTGTATAACCAAGCGCTGATTCCTCTCTGAAGTTGGCTGAATTACAGCCTATCTTTTACACTGAGGGTTTAGGGTTTGTTATTGTTGTGTACTCAAGGTTGTTGGTAGGTTTTCTTATGCATCTGTCTGATTAATAAATGAGCATAAAAATGTAAAATTTATTTGAATAAGTGGTATGACATATTAAGATTAAAAGCAGAAGTTCAGTATCTGCAGAACTTTTTTTTAATTTATTGTGGTACTGTAGATGTGCACTGTAAAGTTCTCCAGAGCACCAGCTGTTTCTTCTCTGTCTGGCTCAGGGGATCTATAAAACTACTGAAGGAAATTAGAGTTAAGGAACAAGCATGTGTCTTACAGAATTTCAGATCCTTTGAATGAGGTTTAGAGAATCCTTGTGAACAACAATAAAACTCCTTGTTGGACAATTTAACTGCACCCTGTAGGAAAGATTTATTAGTATATACTGTACTAACAGTATTAGTTGCTAAAGTATTGCTTCTGTCTACATTATCCCCCACAACCTAGTATACAGAATTGCTCTTGCTAAAAATAGGTATTCCCCTATATATAAAATACATTATAAATAACCATAAAGCCTTGATTACTAAGATTGTTCAATTCCCATTTCTTTATCATAATACTTGCAGAAAACTCTGTGTTTTAAGGACTGATATCTGGGCTAGTTATGTTAAGTTAGCAAGTAATTTTTGTCCTTTTTTTCCCTATTTCACTGCTTATTACCTGTTTGAATTCAAATGTTAGCCAAAATTCTGGGTTTTCATTTTGGGAGGGGTAATTGGTGTAGTAAATTTTCAGTGAGGGGATATTGCTTATTTGCAAAGAAAGCATGAAATCTGGTTTTACTGAACACAGACAGCAACAGAGCTGATGTGTTCACTTACAGTTCCAGATCTTTCCCAGCCCATACCCAGCATAAGTTTTCTCTGGGCTTCTTCCTACATTCTTACCATGTTTTCAGGTTTTCTCCAATGCTCCTTATCCAAGTTTTTGTTTCCCCCAGCTTTTATTATACGGACCCGTAAAACTGCGCAAAGGGGTAATCCGTGATCAGCAATCTTTGCTGCCTCATATACATTTGCAAACCTCCTGTTTAGGGAAATTTCGAAGTGAAAACATTTTTACTGCATAACCAAACTCATATGGTTTCTTGAAGATGTTTTCGGGAAATCAGAATCCAATCCATAACACATCTCCATTTTTGTCTTCTATTCTCACCTGACAGTCAAAGATTGCTACAGTTGTGATAGTGGCATATTTCTGCTCATTCAGATCTTTATATTAAAAGTTTTATTTTTCACTTAAGGAATTCAAATTATTTTCTCTTTTAAGGGATTTTTTTTTCCACATTTAGTAATAGTTTCTCTATTAGATTCCCTTTGGATAGTCTTAATTTTGAGTCCACAGACCCTCATGGTTTAATTGTTCTTAATCTAGTAGTAGGTACTGGTTAGTGTCTGCTATTCCCAGATATATTTCAGAGATTCGGATATTTTACATATTCAGTAGCCATATCCGTATTATTCTTTAACTAGTTCATTATGACCAGAAACAGCAGAGCTTATTTTTAAACTATCAAGTTTGCCTTTTCAGTTTATAATGGTCACTCTTGGCAGTTTTCTTTTTAATATTCTTCCTTTCTATTGGCAAGACTGTTCCCAATGTCAGCATTTAGGTTTATTTCTTCCCTTCTTTCCTTCCCCTTTGCTTTTTATATGCAAAAGTTGCTATTTTTTTCTGTTTAAAATGTTACAAATCAAACACAGTACAGTTTTCTGTTGTACTTATGCATGGAACTACCATTACAAAAATTGTGGTATTCAGCTTCCCTCTTTACCAGCTTTCTCTTCTGGTGTGCAACTGGGAGCAATGATTTCGGTGCTGTAGCAGATTCCAGTGAAACTGTTACCTTGGCTTCTTCCCTGTTATACTTAGGTAGTTTGGGTAGTGTCTGTCTGAATAATAAATTCAGTGGAAGCATCACAGCTCATTCTGGCTTTCCCTCTCCCTCCTGCATGCTGGCTGTATGGCAGAGCCCAAAGGG